CTCGTGTTGAACTGTACTTCTTCGATTCTCACGCAATGTTATTGACAGTTTTTATAAGCATATTTACTTAAAACGTTTAGCTAACAGCATTTTTTACCGACAACCGATAATTATATTTCAGCACAGCATTACACTCATTTTTTCTGCACAGAATATATTACCGATTCAAAACGTATTAGTTCTTAGCATTCGCATTAAACAAATTTAGCGATTGTTTAGGGCATCACGTCTTGGGAGGCGTAAAAACAAAAAAAAATTTAGCGCAAATGCAAGTAGGCACTTTTGGTAATGTTAGCGTAATTAATAATTATGGAGAGTCAATAGCGTTAAACTACAAAAATTTATAAATATATCTTTCACCATTCATTTGTAAACAAGAGGTTGCAATAATAGTATTGGACTGTACCTGAAGATAGTGAAAAATAGCAAAATCCAAGTAGTTAAGACTAATGAAAAATTAACATAATTTAGGCCAAAATCTTCTGAAAATTCGTGATTTTTGCATTTTACGTATATTTTTTGTCTTTCATACTATCGTTGGGTGTAAAATAAAGAATTTCTATTTAGACAATACAAAAATATATGTTTATATAAGATTCATGTATATATTTTGCTTCAATTTAACAAGAAACAGCTTAACATAATAGGCTCGCTACGTCACAGCTTTTTAGAAAATGTACAAAAGTGTGACATTTGAACTCAATGTATAGACGTAATTTATTGATTAAGCAAAAATAAAAAAAATATATGTTTAATATTTTTCAATAATCTTCATGACGAACAGATAAAAAGAAATTATGTCATCATTCCTAATATCTCCTGCATTAAATATGTAGTTTTAAATCAATACTAGTTTACTTATAGTGTAACATACGAAGGGGGTGAAAGGATGAGGTTTCTTTAAGGCATCAAGTAGGTAGTCTTAGACCGGCACTAATATTTCTAGATGAAAAAATGTTTTGTTGATGTTATACATGTATGTATCCCAAGTAGCACATAAATAATATATTAACTAAAATAAGTACCAATTTATGTCCTAAAGTCATACTAACATTTTTAATCAGCACTGGTCAAGTTTCGAATCTGTTTAAAGGCATTTATTTTATCTAATAATGCTTAATGCCATATTATGGTTAATTAAAAAAGTATACCAAAGTCAAAACTCCTATTTAAGTATTGGGTAATATTAATATAAAGCTGTTATCGTATTTCGGTGATATAAAAAACATTATATATATATATTATATATAGAGATACAAGTAATAAATAGAACGTAATTATTTTTTATGTGAAATTAAAATGTAAAATTATTTTATGTATTGTATTGTAATGGTAGCATTTTATACGCATCGCTGGCGCCATGGACAAAAAACGTTGGGAAAAACAAAGAAAACAGGTGGATATAAAAGAAAACTAAAAAAAGAGTATTCTAATTTAATTGAATCTTTTAGAAATCAAAATAAAAATGAAATAATCGTTTGATGATTATAAGCACTATAAGATACTTCTGAAGTGTTAAAGTACTGCTGTACCTAAAATGGGAGTGTGTTATACGATGAATTACGAGCTCTTAGTTTTGTGTCTAACCATAATACGATTAACAGCTCTACTACACTATATTTGAATACCTAATGCTTTAATTTTACGAGTCGCCATTTGCTTTCTTTTTCCAAATCTTACAAAATATTTAAAGTCATCTGTGTCAGATGAAAAGGGGTAAATAATTATTTATTTTGTGCACAAATGCCTATAAAAGCAATTATGTTGTTAAAACAATGCTAAAAAGCCTAAAAATCAACAAAAAATTTTGCTACTAGGTTAAATTTTCTATTATTTTTATTATATTAAAGGAAGTTTGCGAAGGCGCGTGTATTTTACACCATAAACTTGTATATTTTACTCCACAAACTGATGTTTGCAGCTTATTTCACACATAACGAGCTGTTTAAATCAATATTAAAAAATACTTAAAAGACCAGCCAAAAGAACATGTCATGATACTTACACAAAACAATAACTTAAACCGATTATATATTTTTAAAATCTATTAAATATACTTTTTTTACAAAGGAAATAAAACAGTAAACATTTTTATAACATTAAATTAACGTATTATAAATTTGATTTACGCATATCAATTGTAATATAGTCACAAACAACACCGTAATATAGTCAAGCACCTTAAAGTGCTAATTGAACTTTTTGTGGCTATTAGAATGCTTTTAGCAGACTTTATTAATGCTATTATACAAAAGTTGTAGTGCTATTGCACAGCTTTTATACAGCTTAAAGTCGTACAAAGGGGGGGCCCAAATTTTACGTATAAGAGTCGTTTAAAAGAAATACGGTTGATATACGATTTTATTATAATGTTTAACGCTTGGACTCGTGCTATTATAAGTTTGATATAATGGTGTTTTGTGCTACTTGGGATATAAAAGGCACACCTGACTAAATTTGGCACAAGGATTTTTTTAATAATGTAAATGAGCACTAAGAAAAGAATTTTTAAAAATGCAACCTCTGAAGGGGTGCCCAATTTCACCCCTTTAGAGGTTGAATTTTTGAATGATGAAGTTTACATGAAATAGGCTAGTTGACAACTTTTTTTTTATTTCATAAATAAATAGTCCATTAACATCTGAGAAATAATGTCGAAGTAACAGCATGTCTGCGATAAATAGTTTCGGAGATACGGTGCTGTGTTTGTAGAACTGCCGCTAGTTGGCCGAAAACGCTCCCTACAAATTCAAAGCACTCAGTGACGTCACATGGTGCTACAGTAGCGAAAAATGTATGGGCGTCTGGACATTTTTTGTAATATCTTTGTTATTTGTGCGTTTATGTTTATAGCTGTTATAATGAAAGTTGTAACATTTTTTATATCTAGTTTAAAGCCTTATGTATTTTAGCAGATTTTTGTAGTAGATTTTCTGTACTTTTTCAAGTTTCCAAAGCGTAATATTTTCCAAATCATTGACTTAAAATTTGTTTTGTTAAACATTTATAAGTTGAAGTGGTTCATATTTTTCGAAGATATAACAAAAACCTGTATTTTCACTTGTTGGACACAAGCCTATTATCTTTTTTCTGAACTTAAGAACCACGCGGGCAAAGTCGCTGGCGAAGGGCTAGTGTATGTACAATATATCCAGGTTTGCGTGTCTAAACCTTATCAATCGTCAACTGACGTGCCACATGTTTGCACAAACACAATGTTTTATCAACTATTAGTATGCTGTCGAAACGTAACATAGTTCTTAATTCCGAACCGCAACAAAGACCACATTTAGGAATAATAATACCTAGTTTAAATCAATGTTGTTTATAAAAAGAACGTTATGCTACTTCAATGTAACGTTGTTTTCAATCTCGATATATTCGCAGAGACATTACGAAACAATCGCTGGTTCTTCATCATCAACTAATTATAGACAGAATAGCTTTTTTGTTAGAGTCAGCATTGCTTGATGAGTTTGGGTAAGATGTTGACATCTTCAATTGCATTATTAATTTAATTCCCTTGAGCGGAAATCGATAGAACATTTTGGCTCTAGTTGATTGATTCTGAGTGATGTGGTTCTTTTTAGTTATTATTATTATAATCTGCATCTGAGCTCCGAACTCCGTTTGTTTTTACATGACTGCCCAAAAAGGAGTGTATCGTTTTTATTTACAATGAGTTTGTTAATAAAAAATGCTTATAAATCCATTTTTCCCTGGCACTCTGAGATGGGACTCGAACCTGTGACCTCATAATTCGTCCTGTTAGGTCCTGGGTAGCTCAGTGGTTAGAGAAGAGCAGGATTGTGAAAGGTGATGGGTTCGAGCCCCATCTCAGAGTGCCAGGGACAAAGTGGCTTTTTTAAGCATTTTCCGTTAAGAATATTTCTCAGTATAGCATTGTGAATGCATAATTGATCAAATATTTAAATGAATTTACTAAATGTATTTATTTCACTACCAAACTAACAGCTATACGTAATTCCATAAAAGATTGGGAATGAGAATTATAAGCCAGTAAAAGTTACACATCTACAACGATGAAAGAATTTCTGAAATCATTACAGTGTTTTGATTATATTTTAAATTAAATAGAAATTCAAATATTTTCTCCACGAAGCTGTGTTAAAAAATTAAAAAGCCGCATCATATACAAAAATAAAAGACATGGATTTAAAAAAAACAATGACGTACTCTAAAGTTCACTACATTAAAAGACTTTCCAAAAAGAAAAACATTGTCTATCCTCGCGTATATATTTAATTGTAGACCGATTTTCAAAATACTTTTGTTAATTAGCTAATTAACTTATGGACCTTAAGTGATTCCACTGAATCTATCGTAATATGATTAATAGTTTAGTTATTATGCAAAATTACTGGTAACATTTTTCCAAATATCAAAAAATTACTTCGATGAACTGAAGTTTATATCATCAAAAAACAAAATATTTTGCATCAGAATGATTTTTATGACACTTATACAAAATATTATATATTTGTAAATACTAAATATAACTTCAAAAAGTAATACTTATCTTAAAGACGGTTTAATTATTCAAAAAACTGCTGTAGAAGTCTGGCTATCATATAAAAACTTACAGAAAACTTCCACCCGACTTCAATAGCAGTTTCTTGAATAATTAAACTGCTTCTAAGTATTATTTGTCACTTTTCTAAAGATTGGAGACAGTTCTATTTGACAATTAATATTTTTATTTCTGCATAAATAAAGAAAGTACAATATTGAAAGTATATTATATGCCTTTTTGTTATTATGCTTTTATTATCGAGAACATTTATAAATTATGAAGTTACTTTGTTACCGTGGGCATTATAGAGAACTTTTACAATAATCGTTATGTTTTGTAATAAATTAAAAATACTTTTTGCCGTCCTCTGCCCATACATATCTTATTGTCGGACGTGGTGAGATAGATAGGGGATAATCTTTAGTCTTTATGTTTACCTAATTTAAAAAATATTTCCATTTTCTAGCCCACCAAGCTACCATCTCCCGTTGGAATATGCGAAGTTGGTGTCTGAATGTTCGAGGCTTCGCAGAAATGAAGATGGCGATACTGACGTCATATGGATACATAAACCAGTTGCACAAAGTCAAGGGCGGGGTATTTTTTTATTCAGAGTGAGTGAATGATTTAGCCATTCTTACGCCTATGCATCACAGATTAATAAATGATTGCGTAGTAGGATTAAGACAGTGCAAAAGAGTACGGAAGTAGTTAAATCATTGCCCATAAAAATGAAGAAAAAGAAGAATGAACTAATTTGACAAGAGATAATGTCGTATTGTATTATAGAGGTATCGAAACATTACTCAATTTGAAATCCATCCCATTTCTTAATTAATACCTACAGGTTGTAACATTTAGATCAGTCAATATGAGACAGTCGTGATAAGACATATACAAGATCGTACGTATTATCGATATCAGTGAAAAGATAAACTGAATTCTACATCCAAACCGGACTTTTTTAATAATAAAACTTACATTGTTTCTGCTTACTTTGATACCAATTTTGTATGTCGTAAACAGTTAATGTTACCATGATAGATCATCGATAACTAGTAATTCACACATATCAATAGACATTGAGGATGATGAATGAACTTTTTAAAGAAGAGGCAGTTCTCTATTTGACTAAAATCTTTGTCTAACCGATTTTGTTGATTCTTTCTTGTTTGTAAAGAGTATTTGAAGTCGGGAGATTGAAGTTTGGCCAGCAAATCCTCGTCCGAATTCAAATGAAGCTTCTTATAGTTTTAACTTTTCGATTTTATGAAGTCGGTTTTAGCTTTTGTTTCCTCGATATGTTTGCAGAGTGTATGCGAAATGCGGTGCGGATCATCGGCTGTAGTTCAACGTTACATAGAACGGCCCCTTCTGATAGCTGGCTACAAGTTCGACTTGCGGCTTTATGTGTGTGTTCCCGGCTACCGTCCTCTCACCGCGTACATGTATGCGGAAGGCTTAGCCAGATTTGGTAGATATCTTTCAGTAATCTAAATAACTATACACCCTTTTTATATTTAACGTATCAGAAACTTTTTTTCTGTCTATGCAATGCTTTACAACCGATAGTCCGTTCCAAGGAGTTTGTATTAATATTTCGCCTTCTTTCTATTTGGATGATCTAGGATCTGGAGTTAAGAAAGAGTTTAAGAAATTAGGTGGTAAGATGCCCATATACTGTCTATGGCACAGGGTTTACGTGGTTGAGCTTTATTTGATCCATCCCTAAGGAAAGCTTATACCCCAGGAATGTGGACTTTCATAGGCTAAATCGTGCAAAGCCGAAAATTTACCTACATAGATCGCAAAAGTAATGATTAAAGAGATTCATTGAATATTCTGATATATTTCTTACGATACTTTAACCTAGAGCCCAATATTTCAGGTACCGATAAGTACACGGTGACAGATATCCACAATCCGTATCGTCATCTGACAAATTCTTCTTTGAACAAAACTGGGCCCCGTTTTGCCGAGTGCAAAGACAGAATTGGAAACGGTAAGAAGTTATTTTTCTATTATTTCTATTAAAGGTTTCATTTAGAATATTAACAACCTGCTGTTGTTGTTGAATTTGCCTATGTATCTTTAATAATCCACCAATAGAAAAGGCTTGTACCTCAGCATTAGGGGTATATGCTAATAATGAGAAATGTATCTAAACTTGTAATGAGTACATTCAACGTCGTAGGATGCAAGTGGACATTAAAGCAAGTACGTCGCGCGCTGGTCGGCAGATGGGGTGCGGCGGAATGGCTCGTGTGGCAGCGTATACGGGCGCTGGTCACACTCACACTGCTCGCTCAGGCGGCTGGCACGCCACCAGCTAGGAACTGTTTCGAATTCTACGGCTTCGACGTGTTGCTGGACGACTCTTTGAAACCGTGGCTCCTTGAGGTACCTAACGGAAAGTTATAATCGATGGTATTGGTCAGGCCAGGATCTACGATTCTTATTAAACTTTGTATGGCGCCCTTCCTCTACCCCTGCGCCAAACGCCTTTACTTTTATCAGTGGCAATTTCGCGGATTTAAAAGTCAAAGGAGAATGCAAAAACTATGCTATGTTAATTTGCTAAGTTTGCAATAGAAACTAATGAATCTGTACCAAAGACTTTTTTGTTCAAATAATATATAAGCCCGCACGATGTAACAACAAAATATCAAATACCCGTGCTAGATATTCTGAATACTTTACTTACTTATGATCGAATAAGGCTGGAGCCAGGTAACAATAAATAATAGCTTAGATATTTTGGGACATGTTTTAGGTGAACCTTTCTCCAGCTCTAGGCGCTAACTGTGAGGCTGATATCACCGTGAAACAACCGATGTTACACGAGCTGTTTGACTTGCTGGGACTGCCCATGAGACATACCGGCCTTGCACTACTGCGAGGACCTTCACAGATACACAATCAGTAAGGGGTTTAATTATACTTAATAGAGGATTACAGCACTTGCCTAAGGGTGCCACTTATAAAAGATCGCGAAATTTAAGATAAGATAAGATAAGATCTTTATTTGCCAGAACACAAGTCATTGAGGTCACAAATAATCAGACAAGTACAGTATTCTGCCTGCAGACAGGCGTACAAATATTGTTATTATATTATTAAGTTATTACATTTCTTATTATCATATTATATATTAAACAACTCATAACATTACAAATTATTATTATATATTATCATTATGTCATGGATTTTTTTTTAAAGCTAAAAAGTCTTTAACGCTATAAAAACAGTGTTCTAGAAGCCACTTTGTCAGTTTTAATTTAAATTGATTCATGTTTAACAGTTTCATGTTATCTGGCAAATTGTTATATAAAATTATGCACATATTTTAAATATTGTTTTTATAGATGTTTTTAAGACAAGGAGGCTGATACAACAGGTTTCTATATTTTCGTCTAGTTTGTCTCGGAATAATGTCCACACGTTTACTCCAGTAATTGGAATGTGAGTGAACAAACACACAGATATCTTTTATGTACATACAAGGTAGAGGCAAAATATTAAGCTTTTTGAAAAGTGGCTTACAGCTATCATCGTACCAAGCATTACACATAACACGAACACACTTCTTTTGAATTTTAAAAACTCTGTTTAGATCTACAGAGGCTCCCCAAAGTATCAGGCTGTAGCTTAAAACCGACGACACATAACCATGATATGGTGTTAAGGCAGCTTCAACAGAAACTGTTCGTTTCAGTTTCTTTATGGCGAATAAGTTTTCCACCGGTTAAGTTTTCCACATACATGGTCAATATGCTGCTTCCAATTAAGATGTTTGTCAATAATGATTCCAAGAAAACGTATTGAATCTACTTCTTCTATTTCGTCATTTCCGAAAATTTTTTAAAGGATTGTATGATCTGAATTGAATTAACTGTGCTTTACTTATATTTAATTTGAAATCATTTTAATCCAACCACTTAGTAACGTCTGATAGTGCTGAGGTTATTTTACATTCAAATGTGTCATTATTAGTATTATCATATTTAATAACAATTGTTGTGTGATCTGCGAACATTATGCATTTATTGTTTGTGCTACGCGGCAAATCGTTTATGTATACCAGAAAAAGTAGTGGCCCAAGTATACTTTCTTGAGGAACACCGGTATTATTTATTCTAAAATCAGATTGATATGACTATTTTATATGTATATTATATTTCTTTACAATTTTACTCACCTCGGTAGCCTGTAATCTGTTGTTTAAGAAACATCTTATCCATTCAAGAGCATTTCCTCTAACACTACAATTGCATAGCTTGTGCAAAAGTTTAGAGTGACTTACGAAATCAAAAGCTTTGCTCATATCTAGGCACAAAGATACAACAGGAGTTCTGTTATTGAGGCTTTCAGTTATGTGGCGCATAAATTCAAAACATGCTAAAGAAGTTGAGCGACCCTTACGAAAACCATATTGATCTGAATGTAAGGTATGGTGTTTTTCAAGAAAACTCAACAGCCTAGAATGCATAGCTCCTTCGAAGATTTTAGACATGATTGGTACAACGAAAAGAACATGTTTGATTCTCTATCTACACCATCCAAATCCTAGTAAGACACTATTTATGTCTAACTCGAAATCGGACTTACAGATAATTTTGAAACGTTCGATTATGATCTTAATAATAGTCTTGTTTTGCGGATGGAGCTGTTGTACCAAATCAAAAAAGATAATAACTGATTAATTTCCAGACAATCCACAATTTCATCTCAAATCCACAAGTTCCTTACTGTCAGGTCAGGATAAGGTTAGTATTTAAGAAAATTAAATGAAAAATCCTCAGTCGTGACTAGGGAAATAAAATAAGGTGGCACGAAGTTCGTCGAGTCAGCTAGTATAATATTTATAAGTCAATCAGGTTTGGCTTTATACGTTCGTGTTCGGAGAAACGTAGTAATCTGCCTGTTCCTCAGTTACAATTCGGAGGAGGAGAGCGTAGTGCCCCGAGCGTCGGCGGCGCGCGCCCTCACGGCGGGTGCGGCGCGCCGCGGCCCGCGCTGGCGCCGCCGCCGGCCGCTGCCCGTCCACTGCGTTACCCTGCTGCCGCCCGTCATTGATGACACGGTAAACCAACAACCAAAACTGTATTCCAATAGGGATGATGACTGCATTTAAAAAAAAAAAAGAAAGTTTATTTAGTCCGTCAGTCAGAAAATAGCACTTTATATGAAAATGTTTTTGCTGGGATTTCACATCTTCAAAGAAAAGCAACCAAAAATTTATAATCATCACCAGCTGTTAATGACAGGAATGCTGGGGCACAGACTATCTTTTTTGATAAAATTTTATGCATTACGCTGGCCCAGTATTATTAACGACAGCAATATAATACAAGGGACTCTGGATCTATCTGAAGACTCATCCAGTCTATGCTAGTTCATCGACTTTTTCATTGCCGATGATGCCCCTATGATTTGGTACAGCTTTGAACTTACTCATGTTAAATTGCATAGTATTGAGAGCTGTAAAATCTCGTACGAGACTCTGAAACTAATATATTACTTGCACTTCTATAAAATCAAGGGAAAAGCAGGCTTAAAGTGTGGATAAGTAGTACATTTCTAACTACTTCCCTCTGCGTGATATTTCCATTGAATATATTTTATTTTAAACTACAAGGTGGAGTCGCATCTGCGTTCATTGATAACGGCGTGTAGACTTTGATGCTCTTAATGCTTGATCCGTTTCTTTCGCCAGTTATACCTGCATATTTTATGCTACATTTCACCTTTAATTATGAATAAATGCATGGGCACAGCTTCAAGACTAATGTTTTAGGACAACAAATTGAATAAAAGTAGCTAAAAAAATACACCTATTATTCTGTAAATAAGTCGAAATAATTTTACAATAAAATGTTAAATGTTACAGGACTTATCTGAGAAACCCAAAGAACTGAATATTGCAAGATTGTGCAAAACTCCTTCGGAAGCGACTGTTGACAATTCTGATGTACAGGTACAACTTCTGTTTGGTTTTGTAAAATTATGCTTAAAATATCTAACTTATGAATATGATTTTCATACTTTTTTTAATGGAGGAGAAAAGTGTACATTGTTTAATATTGTTTTTGACATTGCGTATTCCGAACCTTAGGGTTTTGTTACAGATAAACCGCGGATTTATAAAATTCTCTCTTAAGAATAAAATCACAAAAATTGCCCCTCAAATTATAATAACATGTTAATATTTAACAATTTATAATAAACAAAACTGTCATCTAGATCATTGTTAGATCATTATCTAGATCAAGATACATATTTATGCCTTGCTAATAGGTAGGTTTGTAGCCGTTGTGTTCTTTATACGTTTTTGTTTGATGGCAGGGTGTTTTCTATTTTGTTTATATAAAATTCCTAATTAACATGCACTATTTAAAACCATTTAAGTATGATCAATTTATGGAATCTTACATCTGTTTGATAAAAAAGCTTTTTATAAATAATAATTTTAATAAATAAATATAAGACAATATAACATACCTTGCTCAGATTCCAAAATGAGTAGCTAAAACCTTCGTATCATGGAGTATCTGAGACAACAAAAGCGTTACAACACCCAGACCCGAGACATTTTAGAAAACCCACTTTCTACACTAACCCGACCGGGACTCGAGTCCGGGACATCAGAGTTGGCGACACCTTGAAACCGACGTGCGAACCACTCGGCCATGGAAGTACGAACATAGCGATCGTATTGGCGACTCGTACGCTGACTTGAACATAGAAAAACCAGTTGAACGTAGAAAAAATTACTGAAAAGTGGTAATCCAATACCTACATACATATGCAATATATAGATAGAGTAGCCACAAAACCCGGCTGATTATAGGGTGAAAGGGATGAATGCCATAAAAAAAAGTATGCGGAATGAATATTTTTCTACGAGTACGAGAGGTAGCAACTGCGAGAACTGGAATAAATGGGAAAAATTAGAGTCAAAACGGCCTGCCACTCGGTGAAAAGCGGTAGAATAAATAAAACACTTAACGATCGTAAAATGTTATTTCGGTTTTGCACTCAAGTCTACGTCGAGTGTCACTGTGGTGGGGGAGGGTGAAATGCGAAAAATTTGAGTAAAAACGATTTGCCACTGGGTGAGGAGCGGTAGAATAGAAAAAAATAAAAAAGCACATGACAGTCGTAAAATGTAATTTCGCTTTCGCACTCAAGTCAACGTCAAGTGTGACTGTGGCGGGGGATGGTGAGGAGGGTTGCCGCGGCGGCAGCGGCGGCGCGGCGACGGCGAGCAACAGGCGGCGGGCGGCGCGCGCGTGCTCGTGGGGCAACGGCGTGCGGTGGGACCGCGCCGTGCCGCGCGTCGGGGACTGGGTCAGGATCTACCCGCACGTGCTGCCCGCCGACGATCAAGTCAGTCTCAAACTCTAACACTGAATGTTTAGAGTCTATTGGCTATATAAAGTTGATTTTTTAACAGTGTTTGTTATATTTGATCAGTTTTGTATTGACAATGCTATACTGAAAATATTTTTAATGAAAATTTACGCTGGAGTAAATTTACGCTGACACTCTACTTAATATTAGTCAAAATTCATATTATTAAACAGAGACTTTTAATACTCGTAATATGAATTTTGACGGTTAACCTAGTGCAAGGTTCTACAAGAATAATATTTTTGCTCATATTAATTATTCTGGAGGTTAATGTTATGAATGTCAAGATCGTTTTGGGAGTGATTTATTGCCCACCAACTATAAATTTCTTTTCTGACTTAGAGTGTCTCCTCAACTCAGTAGCAACCGATTTCTCTCACCATATTATAATGGGCGATTTTAATACAGACCTTTTAAAGCATTCTGCTCAATCTAATAAGTTTCGTTCCATATTCGAATCTGTGAATCTTTCGTTACTACCTCTTGATGCTACTCATCACAATCTCACTTCTCCTGACTCGTGGATTGATCACATTGCTACTTCTTCTCCTGCACTGGTTTCCAATCAAGGTCAATTTTTGGCGCCTGGCTTCTCCAGACATGATCTTCTTTTTCTTGCTTATAAAGCCAAACCCCCTAAACCAAAACCTCTATTCGTACGAATGCGTAACTTTGCTAGGCTGGATGTGCAGAAACTAAGGATCGATGCATGCGCTGCTGACTGGTCACCCATCCGTGAAGCTCCATCTGTGGACGCCATGGTGGATCATTTTAACAGTCTCATACTAGATCTTTTTGAAAAGCATGCACCTAAAAAACGAGTCAAATTGAAGAGGCCGCCTGCTCCTTGGATCACTACTGGTGTACGTATGGCGATGAGGAGACGCAATAAATCTTTTCATATTTTCAAAAGATGTCGTACCGATGATAACTGGAATGCATTTAAAACTGCAAGAAATCGTTGTAATAGTATGGTAAGAAGTGCCAAACGCCAATACTTTCACTCCAATATATTAAATTCCAATCTTGCTAATACTTGGAAATTTCTCCGCACTTTGGGTTTCGGTAAATCTACTGTACAGAAGAATCCATCTCTTCCGTTAAATGATCTTAACAAGCATTTTTCTTCGGTTTGTTCTCTATCTCAAACTATAACTTCTTCCACTGTCACCACCCTTACGTCCGAGGCTGCTTCTATTGATGAACCATTCTCTTTCACTCCGCTCTCTGAAGAGGACATTCGTAAAATCGTTATGTCTATTAAATCTAACGCCGTGGGTTATGACGATATCGGACGAAAGATGATTAATCCCATTCTTGATTGTATTCTATCTGTCCTCACCTTCATCTTAAACTATTCTCTTTCTTCCGGTGTGTTTCCTATGTCTTGGAAAAAGGCATTCACGATACCACTTCCTAAAATCCATAATCCTACAGTTCCCAACCACTTTCGACCGATCTCCATATTGCCATTTCTTTCTAAAATCTTAGAAGCAGCCGTTCACAAGCAACTTTCTACTTTCATTTTTCGTAATAACGTTTTAAGTCCTTTTCAGTCTGGTTTTCGACCTGGTCATAGTACCACCACTGCCCTTCTTAACGTTTTGGAAGATATACGCGAAGGGATGGACAATTCAAAATTAACGGTTATGGTTTTGATTGATTTTTCGAATGCTTTCAATACGGTCAATTATGATATTCTGCTTGCTATCCTTTCACAATCGGGTCTCTCTTCTTCTGCTACGGCATGGTTTTCATCTTATCTTCGTGGACGACAGCAGGCGGTTCGGGCTGATCAGATTATATCTGACTGGTGCGATTTGACTGCTGGCGTACCTCAGGCGGTATTCTCTCTCCTCTCCTCTTTTCTCTATTTATTAATTCTCTTACCACTCAATTTCATTCTTCTTGCCATCTTTACGCGGACGATCTTCAGCTTTATACTCAAGCTGACAAAAGCAAGCTAAATGACGCAGTTGCTGCTATAAATCAGGATCTCCTTAATATCTTAGAGTGGTCCAAGGCTTATGGTATTGCCGTCAACACAGCTAAGTGCCAAGCTATTATTATTGGCAGTTCTAGACAGTTGGCTCTAATTGATCTCAATACGGTTAGTCGCTTAATTTACGATGGTGAAATCATTCCATTTCAGCCAGTGGTTAAAAACTTAGGTTTGCTTATCGACTGTACACTTAGTTGGGACGGCCAGGTTAATGAAGTGTGTCGCAAGGTGATCAACACGCTCAGGTCTCTCTATAGACTTAAATTTTTTCTCCCTTTCAGTACCAAAGTTGCGCTTGTACAGGCTCTCGTTCTTCCTATTCTGGACTACGCTGATGTCTGCTATTCTGACACCAATCAGATTCTCCTTGATAAATTGGATCGTTTGCTCAACAGTGGTATAAGGTTCATCTTTGGATTACGTAAGTTCGACCATATTTCTCAGTATAGAAACCAACTCGAATGGTTGCCTATTCGTAAGCGCAGGAATCTTAGAGTTGTTTCCACTCTTTACAACATCCTATACGATCCACGTACTCCGAGATATCTAAAATCAAGATTCCAGTTTTTGGGTGCTTGTCATCAGCGAGAACTTCGCTCTAGTAGTAATATTACTCTTCAAACCCCTGTTCATCAAACCAGCTTTATGTCAAACTCCTTTACTGTAACTTCTACTCGCCTCTGGAATGCTTTGCCAGAAGACATTCGGAAGGCCAAAAGCAAAAGTGTGTTCAAAAGACTAGCGCATGAACACTATTTAAATAGTCCTTAGTTTTTCATGAATCCGATATTATGTAGTATATATGTTATATGTAGTATATATGTATATATGTTATTGTATATATTTATAATATACGTATATATCAATATTTATTTATGCATAAATCTATTTGTTTATTATTTTATGTATAACTGTTTTTTGTTTTTTTTTTGTTTAGTACTTACTTCTACTTTCTTTATCGCCATACATCTTGCTTCCTACTTTCTGTCTGGTAGACTGGTAGAGAATGCCCTTGGCATTAAGTCCGCCATTTGCTATTCCATGCAATAAAGATTAAATAAATAAATAAATAAATTATTAGACTCGCGTGTGCTCCAAAAACATAACTATAATTGCCCAAGCTTGAAGAATATAACTGAAGCGCATAATTTAAATAGTATATGTGTACACTAATAAAACAGCTGATTAAATAAAAAAACAAGAGTAAACAATATTTTTTTTTTCATTCATCAGCCCTTTTTCTGTCACTGCAGGGGCTCAGGCCTTCCTTATGGATGGTTAAGGAGGATGGGCCATGAACCTCCACGCTGGCCCAATGCGGATTGGAGGGTATTAACGACTGCAAATGCAGCCGGGACCAACGGCTTAATGTGCCTTCCGAAGCACGGAGTAGCTCGAGATAATAATTTTTTGTTCACCCATCCCGTGACCGACCCCTGCGAAAGTTGCTTAACGACAACGATCGCGGGCCGCAGCGCTTAACCACTACGCCACCGACGTAGTTCTATTGTTTACGACGAGTAAACAATAGAATATATAATAAAAAGAATATTTGAGAATGCTTCTAAACATTGATTATATATTGCAAAGGTAGTTAGTTGCCAGCGATGGTTATAAAAGAGGTTTTATGCAGATGCCTGTAGAAGACATCCGGGACAGCGTGGCTCAGGTGTCTAAGTTCCTCCGCGCCGCGCGGGAGGTGTACCGCGAGGACGGCAGGGACGCGCGAGCGCCGCGTGACGCCGCGCGCGACGCCGCCTTCCAAGCAGCACTAAATAAAAAACTCGACTGCGGCACTCACTTTCAAGTCTGGCTACCGCCTTTTTAATGTGTTCATAGGTTATAATTAATTTAAGCACAGCCAATAAAATGCTTGCTCAATTCAATGCAGTTTTACCATTTCAAAGATATTTGACAAACCTTAATAAAACCTGCACAAATATTTCGCAAATTTCACAAAAAAGAAGAAGCACTCTAAACGTTGGATATTTGGAAGGTATTTCCAATCCCGCATAAACAATCTAGCCTGATACAAATACCAACTTTCAGTATGGAGATCAAACATTAAAACATAACAGATGTTTTTTTATTATTTCCTTTTTATTTTCTTTTTAATATATGAATTAATCCAACGACATTTTTTTCGGATTATTAGTAAAAAAAAATTAAATTCCTTTAATTTGTCAATGGCATGATAAGCAAAATACATATAAAGTGACTTCTACGTATTTTCACGCTGTTACTTATGTTACTTCCATGAATTAAATAAATCTTCCTAATATTATATTTGGAAACTCATATTTTTATGTAACACGGACAATAAAAATATTTAAAAAAAAATTAAAAAAATTCAATAATATTAACAATGAAATACGACTTCAATCGATATTACTATATTGCGTTATGTATATTTTGTTTTGAATCCAATAAAAATTTCCATGGGAATATTGCATACCAATATTCCCGTGGAATATTGGTATATAACACGCAATATATGCAGCAGACTTTTGAATTAAACACATATTCTACTAAATATCATTAAAATCCACTCATAAATATTTAAATAAAAGTTTTATTATATTAAACTACAACAAACAAAAAAATAAAGTAAAAAATAAAGTTTAATAAAAATCACTATTTTCTGTAAATTTTTTAGTTGGATTTCAGTAATTTTCATTGTCGTTATGACAAATAAAACCAAAATTTGCGAAAAAAAATCGTGTTAGTAATTTTGCGTGAAGAAAATGAAGGTTTTTGACCTGATGTTTATTTTATACCTTCCGTACCTAAAATGAGATGAATTCTTAAATATAGTCTCTTGTAATTTGCTCATAAACTCGATTAAAAATATTCCAGGCTTATATCGAATTATTTCCGATTTCTCGTATTTGTATCAGGCTAATCCGCAAAATAGTCAAGGAAAAGGCCCGCATGAAGTTAACCTTTCTAATCATTCGGGACGATTGGATACATAATTGCTAAAACCAATTTATTTTCTAAAGGATATACATAATTAAATTAGCAATTTTCAAGGAATATAGAAAAGTTATTGGTTTTTCAATTGGACTCATGTGGACTCATATAATATTGCTCTGTGCGTATTTTTTGAGTAGATATTTAAACTAAATGTTAGTCTTTAGTTTTTGTATACTTTGTGCTTTCGGATAGGTACAGTCAAGCATATATACTTATGTACATATTATAACGTCAGGATTGAGGAGCCAGTTAAATGCGTTTTTTAACTAAAATCACCATGTTTTCTCTACAAATTTGAATATATTTACTACTAATAGTCTATAGTGGAATATAAATTAACTAATTACTTTTATCGGAATATCCGCCGTAATGTATAGATTAAAAAGCCACATTAAAAGTATTGTATATTCTTTAATATCAACCATCTTGGTCTCAAATATTTAGTAGGTGCTAATACACAATACACTTACAGACTTATTATCACACAAATGTGACGATAATATAAAAGTAATATCATGTTTATGATTATTTTTAGTCCTAATAAATAAATTTGGTCTAAATGTCTAAATTAGTTTTTGATAGCCACATAAGAAGGGCGTCGCCTCCCAACGACACATCTAATTCTTTAAAAACTCGGATGTTTTCGGAATTTCATAATTGGCATCATCTTTTTTTACTCACTTATTTATTCACTCTGCAAAGAGATAACGACGCTGAGTCTTACTTATGTCCTTTGTTTTATGATGTATAACTACAAATTAATGTAAAAATTATATATTCTTTATGTAGGTACACATGGCTGTACGTCAGGTTACCACAATACATAAAAATTCTGCGGTTTGACCTCTATCATTAATATCATAAGGTTCAAAATCGTATGGTTAAATTTGTCAGTTTTGTATTGTCCGACGTGCAGTTGACCGTACAATAAAGAATATCATTTCAAATTCAGATTAATAACATTTTTATCCGCAAGTAGATTTTAATTAGATCATTATGACCATCTCAAGACGAACCACACTTTCTGTATACCTATATAGATAGATTATAAATAAATAAATAGCATGTATCAGATTATTAAATTTTAAATAAATTTAAATACTAAATAAACAAATAAATATAATCTTTAGTTTTTTAAAGATTATATTTATTTGTTTATTTTGAATATTTAAACGTAGATATAATGTTATCTAACGGAATCACCGTGACCTTCAGCAACCGGCAAACAATGTCGTTAGTATACATACACACGTAGATATTCTGAACGAAACTTTATTTATATCTAGCATAAAACATAATTTCAATTGGACTATGATCAAATGAGACAAGAAACAGCAGCGAGCATGCAGTGTGTTGGCGGACGACGTACTGTACGCATCTCAATTAAAAATGTTAAAACGCTGTAAATTTATAGTGCATTACGTGTCTAAATTTAATGTATTCGAACAAGTGAGATATGCGTCACAGATCTTACCTCAATTTTCAGCTGTAAGTATTTATCTAGTTTATAAATATAGTATCAATCTATGGAAAAATGTATAGTTACCTAGCTTGTAACTGGTGCGAACATAACATGAGATATATCGTGTTTATCCCATACATTTTAAAGTCCATCATTATAAATACACAAATAAAAATACATTTATTTTTATGTCCAATCAGAAGGTTTATCTGACGATTACCTGTTGCTTACTTTGTTTACGGTACGAGCCATTCTGAAGGAATACATTATTAAAATATCAATAAAATGGTGTTACATATCGTAACAGTAGAATACATCAGCACGTATTTTTTAGTTCATTTCGTCAGCTTTGGACTGTAATACTTGAAGCTTTAAAATAGTTAAATTGAAAAATTTTGATAGCTAGTATAACCTGATGTTCTGTTCCCAGATCCCTTAGTAACTGTACATTCAAATGTAGGTTATGAATATCTTATACAAAGGTTTCTATATACCTATGCATACTTCATAATTATAAGCCATTTAATAACTTATGTAAGCCGAGTATTGGGAGTAGAAGTGGACCTAGATGACACCCTTGAGGCATTTCACTTAGGTAATTAGGTAAAAATCTATTACCTAAGTGATGCACCTATATGATGTTTTTTATTACAGGAAAAATACAATGTGAAAAGGAAAAACTTCTCAAATGTTCAAGCTGCAGACGTAAGTTACTTTCAATCAATACTTGGTAACGATAGAGTGTTGACTGACAGAGATGAAGTTTTGCCATTTAACATCGACTGGATAAGAAACTGCCGTGGTTAGTAATTAATAGGTACCTAATACTCTTTTATCTTTATTAAAGTATTAAAATGTGTAGGTAAATGTATTAAAGATATTGCAGACATGACATTGTAGAACATGAATATTTGTAAATTTACTTATACAATATGCCTGATACAGATAGATTGTCTGAAAGATGATATAGCTAAGAATGTGACAAATGATCAAATGAAGTCAAATCGTGAAGCACAGGTGAAGAATACAAATGTTGCACTGATTCCACACGAAACTAGTAGTCACGAACAGAACAAAACGAATTGATCAAATTTTGATGAATTCTTACTGTTCTTTTTCTGTAATCGTAAGTACATAATACCTACCGTTTCAGGACAATCACAGGTAGTGCTGAAACCAAAGACTACTCAAGAAGTATCAGAAATTCTTGCTTATTGCAATAAGAAACGGTTAGCTGTATGCCCCCAAGGAGGTAACACTGGACTAGTGGGTGGTTCAGTACCCGTATATGATGAAATAGTTATTAATTTAATGCTGATGGACAAAATCATTACTTTAGATGAAATATCAGGTATGCATACCTAACTAAATATTGCCTTTTTTTAACGATGGGAAATGCGTTACACATTTCCCGCCACACCAGCTTTTAGTATCGAATTTATGTGGGACTCTCCTCTGCTGGATCAGCCCTCAAAGGAGCTAGTCAAAAGGCAGAGGCATCCTACTAAAATCCTTCGACGTCTATGGTGCATCCTTTATATTGCATCCTTTCAATTTATTACTATAAGATATACACAGCAATACGATTACTACAAAATATACCACAAAATGACAAACCGAAATCAATAACGAACTCTACTCATTTTCAGGTGCATTGGTATGTGAAGCAGGTTGTGTTCTGGAAAACTTGGACAACTATGTCCGCGGTCATAATCTCATCATGCCATTAGACCTAGGCGCCAAAGGGTCCTGCCAAATTGGGGGTAATGTCAGCACAAACGCGGGGGGATTACGACTCCTGCGGTACGGGAACCTTCACGGTTCAGTACTAGGGCTTGAAGCCGTGAGTAAAGAATTTACATCGAATCTTTTTTTTAAAATGAAACTTACGAATTCATTAGACTTCTCGAAATCGCGAACTTCTTCGCATTTTAACTACTTGGCTAATTACATTATTCGTGTTCAATAGAATTTTAATAAACCTATTAGGTAAGTGTTAACTCTATTGCCTGACTATCGTTTAAAAGTATGTAGGTACCTAAAACCTATATCATGGACCAATAATGTATGAAATCATTTTGACAGATAACCCATCCTATTACCTTTCCTTTATTTTAATAGAACTTAATCAAAATGTTGATCGGTTTAGCTTTCTTATGGGAACCAATACTCAAAGATTATCGTAAGAACTAATACTTCCATTAGGTATATAATTGCTCTTTCTTTCCTAATACCTATAAACAGGCCCCGGGCTATAAATGGGCAGACTGGACATTTGCCCAGGGCGCCAAATTTTTGGGGGCGCAAAATAAAAGAGATAATAAAAATAAATGAGAGAAACAAATTGCCTTAAAAATATAATTTTAAGTTTTTATCTTTCCTGGAAGTGTGAATTATGTAGAAATAAATGTCTACAGTTTTGCGTATGAAAGACGTGTTTTCTTGTTATTTCTTTCGTAAACTATAAGTAACAGATTATTTGCTTTTACATTATAGTAATAAAGGGGGCGCCCGTAGACCATTTGCCCAGGGCGCCGTTCACCTAAGCCCGGAGCCTGCCTATAAGTATACCGATGACAAAATAAATACTCAAAGCAATATCAGCAGCACCCTCCTTTAGATCAATGTCCTTATAATACTTTTTTAATAGATACTTAATATAAAACCGCCCCGGTAATGGTCCTTCTCTCGTAAATGTAATAAATACTTTACTCTCATTTCCACAATGTTGCATGTATTTAAGCAATCTAAAAAATATGCCTTATAACAGTTTGCGCATATTAAATTGTTTCAATAGGTTAAAGCAGACGGTACAGTGATAGATTGTCTCAGATCTTTGAAGAAGGACAACACAGGGTACCACTTAAAGCATTTGTTCATAGGATCAGAAGGAACACTAGGCATTGTCACCAAGGTTGCAATACACTGTCCTGTTTTGCCCAAAGCAGCAACGCTTGGCTTCTTTGGTAAGGCACACCGGATAATTTTATATAAGTACGTTATAGCTTTTTTCAATTTTCATTAAGAATATCTTCTAGTACAGCATTGTGAATACAAAACATTCACATTTATAATATATTAATAACCTTATATCTCTTGCTTTACAGGCATAAAGAATTTTGAAAATATATTAGAGTTATATAAGAGTGCCAAATCGTCCCTAGGAGAGATTTTGTCAGCTTTTGAAATGGCTGACAACTTGGCCATTACTCAGACAGTTAAAAACCTTAATCTTCCGTAAGTGAGATGTTATTATTGTGCAAAAACTTCTCTGTGTATTTTTCTATTTTCATTTTCAGGTGGATTGCCTGAACGTTGATGAAAATATGATCTGTAGTAGCGAAAAAGTAACGTGTTAGGGCCTAGGTAGCTCATTGGTTAGCTTTCGCCCGGATTGGGAAAGGTCATGAGTTCGAGTACCATCTCAGAGTGCCAGGGACAAGTGAATTTTTTAAGCATTTTTCATTAAGAATATTTAGCAGTATAGCATTGTATACGCAAAATTGACCAAATATAATAATTTCCCGTTAATTAAAATTTAAAGTCCTGTAACTATTGGTAATGTAACACTTTAAATTTTAATGAATCATTTGTGCGACTAACCGGGAGTATGTGATTTTAGTCCGAACTTGGTAATACAGATTTTTACACTGCAATTTATTGAAACACTGTTCATTTATTGAATAATTATTATTTACAGGAATCCTATATCAGATTATCCATTTTACGCGTTAGTAGAAACACATGGCAGCAACGAAGTACATGATGGTGAAAAATTAAGTAATTTTTTAAATAAGGAGATGGAAAGCGGCCTCATAATGGACGGAACTGTGACATCAGATCCTGCCAAAATGCAGGTATATGGATCATATGACGGTGCCCATTTTGAGTAATTGACCGTTCTGTTCCCCAGGACATGTGCTGGTTTCAACCTTACCTAATTTTGATCTAAAGAAATCTTTTTCCTCGATCTTTCAAAATATTATACATATAAATTTCTCTGACATAAAAAAAAATAAATACTCATATAAATTAAAACTCATGATCGAAGTGGTTTTACCTAATTTACTTTACTTTATTACTTTATTATTAGTATACATACACATTAAAAACTCGTTATTACCTTATTTACGAGTTTTTAATATGTATGTATAGTAATAATAAAGCTGAAGGACTTGTTTGATTTTAACTCTAAAATCTCAAGAACTACGGGAATGAATTGAATTATTGTTTTTGTGTTGAATAGTCCACTTATCGAGGAAGGCTTTGACTTATATGAGTGGCGCAGCATTGAAAAATGTTACAAAAATGGGACAATATTTTACTTTTAAGCTTTTCATGCGTGCACTGCGTAAACGATAAAAGTTAAGTTACGCAAAAATTATGTATTGCAAAAATGATTCTTTAAAAATTCTAAAAGAAATCCGCATATGTCTATCTTATCACGAAAAAAACACATAAAGGAATTAAAATGGGAGCGGGAGTTCGTATAAGCCAATTAATCGTTACCATGAAAACCACTGTTTACAATTCAATTTGTCATTTTAATTGTATTCCAATTCATCCTTTTCCAATTCAAATTTTTAATAATCATGTTTAAATAATGTTTTGAATAATTTTAATCGGTACACTCTTTGTCGCTTATATTAAATGCATATATTATATTGGTTAAGCACACGAAAATGTTACATTTAGCTGACTCTACTGAGCACTAGATGACGCTACTGTGCTTTTAAAACTTTATTTTTGTTATATTTTAGTCTTTATTTTTTCCAATTTTATGAAAGAATGCAGCTTTCAACATAATTTAATGGGAAATTGTTAATCTGGCTTGTAAATAATAAAATGCTACAATTAGCTGTTTTCGCTAGATAACGCTACTGTGTTTTTAAAACTGGTGTATTTGTTTGTTTCACTTAGAACTGTATGTTACAAAAAATATATTTTAATTTTAACACAAGAAACTTATATGTGATGATAATTATTGCCACAAAAACTATATAAATCACTTTGAAAACATGGTTAGTTGATAAATATTTTTATTCAGTAAATGAGTTTTTAAATACCAGATATTATTTGAAACACTTTAAAACGAAAAAAGAACTAGTTTGTCGTATGGGAGACCCCTTAAATGTTTATTTTATTCTATTGTTGCTAAAGCGGCAACAGAAATACAACATCTGTCTAATTTTTACGGTTCACGAGATACAGCCTGGGGACAGACAAACAGACAGCGAAATACGGAACCTTAAAAATTTACCGAAAGTCACTATTCCACGCAGTCGAAGTCGCGGGCACAGCTAGTATTTAATAAGAACATTTATTGCTAACAAGTCATTAGAAAATTACATTCATAATGATGAAAGCTAATAATCTAGCTAACGAAACAAAAATGTTACCCATGCACAAGGAACAACTGATCTACTGTACATTTGTTACAGACTATTTGGAACTTGAGGGAAAGTATTGCAGCTTCGAGTCTCGTTGGAGGTTATGTCTTTAAATATGACGTATCTATCCCACAAAAACACTATTACGACATCGTTCCAATGTTGAAGCAGCGGTTGGGCGACAAGGCATCTGCAGTCTTCGGTTATGGACATATAGGTAAATCGGTAGTATAAAATCAATCTATAGATTACCTATTTATTCAGAAATTTATTTAGACTTTAGACATATCTATATTAATCATCTCCAGCCTCTTAATATTCCCACTGTTGGGGCTAAGACCTTCCCTATGGATGGAATCGAATAGAGAATGAACCATCACAACCAACCGCGCAAGCCCAGTGCGGATTGATGGATATTAACGACCGCAGACGTATTCTCTTCTACCGTGGTCATTATAGGTGACGAATGATTTAAACTAGGTTTAAACTAAGTACTGACGTTGGTCCTCGTTTTATAATAACTGTTTGAATCTGGATCCACCCTGGAGAGCTTATCATAGATTTGACATAGGGTGCTTTGGGGTAATCAGGAATGCAGGGAAATGGCAGGGGAACAAGCAATATGTTTGTTCTAATAAAATATTTTTTCATCAATTACTTAAAAGATTTTTATTTGTCAGCTTTGTCAACGATTGATAAATGATAAAAAACAAAGCCAGATTCGGTGGTTATTCGTCACTTTCGGAATTTCCCCTCTCTCGGTATTACCCCAAAGCGTACATAGGTACTTGTTTAAACTTTTTAATTATTTTTTTCAGGTGATGGAAATATCCACATAAATATATCAGTGCCTCAATACACGAAAGAAGTAGTTTCACTCATAGAGCCGTTTATATTTGAAGAAGTTTCGAAACTCAAGGGCTCCATCAGCGCCGAGCACGGAATAGGTTTCCGTAAGCCACAATTCATCCACTACAGCAAGGAACCCTCCGCGTTGGGCCTGATGAGAGATCTCAAACAACTGATGGATCCAAATGGAATCCTTAACCCTTATAAAGTATTGCCCGAAACAAATTAAAACACAAATTAGAGATTTAAAAAAAATCCTGTCCCGTATTGAAATAAGTATTAAAATTATTTCGATACGTCATCCAGCCAAAATAAAGTCTATAAATGTCAAAATTCGAGAACGTCACTCTTGAAAGGTAAAACCTTTAACATCTTTGAAGTAACCTTTTAACCGCCTTTGAAGCATAGCGGAAAACTCCTAATGGTCACCCATTACGTGGTACCCGAAGACTAGTTTCATTTTTCTATAAGCCTCTTATACCGACTACCTCCGAAGCTCGCACGTCGAATTCCCCCTCTAGAGATCCTGGTGGTTTCGATTCATGGTCCAATGTAAAAAAATGACCATTTCTTCATTATCTCAAGTCTGGGTGTTGACTTTGTTATTTCAGATATCCATAACATACTTTTTGGAATCTAACCAATGTGTGGGGATGTGATCAATATTTATTATGCATGATGCAGCAGATTTCCTGTAGCGTTTTCATTGGCCGGACATTGGTTTGGACCAATGAAGATGCGCCTTTAAGCATTGTATGCAATATTTCCTTTTTTCAACCAAAAGCTGACATTAAAGTTACAGATTAAATAGAATAATGTAAAGGTATACCATGAAATAAAGCCAAACATATTATTTAAATGACTTTTATTAAAATATCCATTTATTCTTATAACATTCGTAATATCACTGCAACAAAAATACAATGGAATATTATAAACATTTTCCTAATTGCTTCAAATAAATAAACCCGGTATCGATTAAATATATTCAAAAAGTAGTATATAAGAGCATTAAATTATTATTAACTCGGATTGCAATTTAATTATGAATAATTTATAAGTCATTGCTATAAGATTGTTTAATAGCACTAATAAAACACTATTTAAGAACTTTATTCACCAGCAATAAGAACTATAGCAAATAGCAAACATTTATATTATTTTCGAGGCAACTATCACTTTTGTTCACAGCATATAGGCTTTATAACAAATTCTAATAAATAACTTTATCAAGTTTGGCATTCGACTGAATTCGATGATATATTTTTGTATGGTATTATGATTTTTTTTTTATATGAGAATGTCGCCCTTTGTAATTATCGCATTTCATTGTGTTGCAAGTGATGTAGCAAACGTCTATTAAAATAATTTGTGCTAATGAAAACACACGCAAAATTTAATTTTATTAAGTCCATCGTATTGTTCAATAAAATCACTGAGATTTCTTATTAATAAAATAATGCATTGGCTCGCAGTGCTTTATAAAAATTAATTTATTTTAAATGTCAGCCTTCCACACATAAATGATGTAAAAATCTCGGTTAGACAACCGATACTACAAACAGAAATATTTCATATGGAATGGAAGATAAATGTGTACTTTTTTTACTTTTTTTTGGTAATAATGTTAATTCTATTTTCATTAAATAGAAACAGACGACTTATGAGATCACTAAGTTTATTAAAGACGAAATGTAAACAAGAATTAACATAGCTCTAAAGTATGGCCCTCTGAATATTTTGGGAGACAACAATACAAATCAATAACAACAGACTTGAAAACTAAAAATATGCACCTTATTACAAAACAAATAGATCGCTTTTAATATAAGCATCTGCTTGTTTACATTTAGTCAAAGGCTTTTTAAAAGGCATGGCGTTTTAAAATGCTTATTTTTTATACGTAAACACAATTGCATCCTCCCGGAAAAACAGACCAAAACGGCATAAAAAAAATGATGATACGTACTTACTAAATCTATTCTATTTGAAGCAAAGGCTAACATGAGTCTAAATTAAAAGCTTTTTTATTATTAAACATGTCCAAATGCTGAACCACTCTAAATAAAATTCCGGTACATGTTAATGTTCTGTAATATATCCGCAAACGCTGGCGTGTAACGTACAAATAAATATTATTATATATTTTTTTTAAATTATTCTAAGCAATTAGAACGACTTCATCTTAATATGATAGAAGACTAAGAGGATTCTAAGATTTCTGCTTATCACAAAAATAAGTCGATGGCAAACATTAAGTTTAGGATTATACTATTGGGAGTGACTTTCTATAGCAACACCTACCCTTTCAGGCGTATAGTCAACACAGACGAGTTGCATTCAAACTGCAATAATATACAACGGATAACGTATAACCGGCATTAGATCAACTGTTTCGATTGTTCACAAAACTGTGGGTTTTCTGCAAATCCAATATATTTATGGTGTTGACACAAAATATCGGCATCGATAGATGGCGGTGTTCTAAATTAATGTTGTCGACTCCATAATGATATGGATCTGGTTCATTTTGATTTTCTAAATGGTTAACAACGTGAGGTTCAAAAGCTCTTAGCGGTTTTTTTATAACAACTTCATTTTTTCTTTTTTGTTTATTTATGCAGTCTTAAATGTTAGCCAATTGTGTAGTTATGCGAACTGCATAGTTCTAGACCGTGTGTAGTTCAAAAAGTTCAAATGCAGCTCTTTTGTTTGACCATTTTAGTGACGATCTTTTTTTAATACAGTTATAAAATAACCAACAAGTGTTAGGATACATTATTCTCGCGCATAAACTTTCTAGAGTGGTCACCGAGTTGGTCACTCGCCATACATGTCTTTTTATAGAGTTTTTATAGTATTTTGTATTTTTTTTGTAATAGTTTTTCGCGATTGTTCATAGAGAAGACTCATTTCGGTCTGTCCCCCGCGAGGCTCGGGGCGCTATGGAGGGGGGTTATCGTTTAATTTGATTGGACATCTTCAGGAATTCCAAGAAACCGGCCTGCATCTCGGCATCCATGCCCGTGTCCCACGCGTCGTTTTCGAGTTCCTCCCTGTCGTGATAAAAAAACTCCGTGAAAACATTGTCGAAGTCGAAACCACTAGTAATCAGGTTTTTTTTGTCCTTATTTAATAAGCAGTAAAAGATAAAATTGGAATCATTAATTAATATGAACATTCCTCAGTAATTAATTAATCAATTTAAATACATACATAGTTTAATATATATTTATATCATTTTGTTACCTTCTTTTCAATTTTGAATTAAATAAGAACCATTATGAACAACATTCACTGGATCCAGAAATACGTTCCGGGAAAAATGTCTTATCCATGTTAATATTTATAACGTAAGTGAAATTTAAAGTCAAAATTCAAAAGCTGAAAGAAACCACATTAATAAAAAATTATGTATAAAAACAATAAATTAACGATGTGCTCTATTGTGCGCAATTATTGCAGTTATGGCAGTCTTTTTACTGTCATAAGATGTTTATTAAACCAACGCGAGTTTGTGAGAAATCAGCTCGCTCATTTAGTCACTGAATAGAGATGGTTGGCAACCATCCATCCATCGCTCAATCCCTCAATCTCTTTGATTTTATTTTAAAGTGTACCTATCTAAATCTTGCTCTTTTACCACCTTTCTACTAGAACATATCCACACTCCATAATCATCATGTACTAAATTGCTGTAAAATTCAAATTATAGATGATTTTTAGGGCCAAAGAAATTTCAGGCGATTGTTTCTGATGATTTCCGATGCCCATTATTTATCTTGAAGTACTGTATATACGTATATCTATAGAAATACTTACAGTATATCCTCTTCGAGGGCGGCGTTCTTGCCCGGGGGCAAATTGCTTTGTAGGAAGGCTCGCTCCTCGGCCGTGAGCGTGTTACCATCCGCTAGGTAACCACCCTCGCCCGTCGATGGACCGTCCGATTCGCCGTTCATAACTACATCGACATATTTCAATATATGACACAGATAATATAAAACTATACTATTATAAATACATAAATTCATTAAAAATTATCATCTCAGCTAGATATATTTACTATTTTTTATCATATTTCTGCACTAGATGACCATAATCCATTTATGACATAAGACGATTTTTTCGATGATTTAGACTTATAATTTACCTTGTCACTCTATGTAAGAAAAAGTAAGAATCGAACTACCACCTATTTCTGTTTAATAAAATTATAAGAATCTAAAGGAAATTCTAATAAATTATGTGATCATACGTAAAAACTATAAAGACTATCCTTCCCCCTAGTAATTTATTAATTGGCTACTTGACAATATAAAAAATTATGAGACATGTTGGAAATGGTAACAACTTACATGAAACAATAACTAAGTAGTATTTTTTTGCAAGTGCAACCAGTACTCATGTTTTACTCATTAAAATCTTAATGTCACATGAATTTAATTCCATTTCACACATTCTATATATTCTCAAGCCAAATAAAAAAAATTGAGTAGAGGGAAATAACCTCTACCATCCATCTCGCCAAACACAAAGCTGTCTCATAATATTAATAATTTTAAAATATTACTAACATAGCATATAAGTAAAGTTACAGTCAAAATAATCTTTATTCAAATAGACTTCTCAAAAGTACTTATGAAATCGTCCAACATTTTTTTTCCCTACCACTCGTTCAGGACGTCTTTTGGCTGATAAAAAGAACAAGCAAGAAACTCACCAGCTCTAATAGGAGTAATAACATTCACAAAAAACATGTCATTACCAGATCAATACATTATAAATAGAGAGACAATAAAAACTACTGTCTTATAATGATAACATAACCATTTAATAATAATGGAAAAAATATAATTTTTAATATATAATGAGTTTAGAAGTAATCATCTATCCAGTTGCTGCATCTGTTATTTAATCGGATACCTTATAATAAGCTTTTTTAATAAGTTTTTTATTTTTAATGTAAATTGTAACTAAAATTATGGACATGTCCGAAATAAATTAGTTTTATATACATATTTTATATATTTACACAACTCTTGTACATTATCGTCACGAGCTCTCGGCCTAGTATGGCTAGCGTTATAGGCCGAGAGCTCGTGACGGTTGAAAATGGAGATTTTTTACTGACCGTGCCTACGTCGATGGTCGTTGTTGGGGGCGGGGTCGGCAAGTCCCCAGCGCGCGGCCCGCAGCGAGAGCACGTTGCGGACAGACGGCAGGTGGCCGCGCCGCTTCAAGCGTTCGAACGCCGCGTGCATGCCCGCCGGGCAGTCCGCGTCCAACGCTATACCGGACAACTAACCGACAAAACCACATGTATAAACCGGGTAAACTATACTCCATTCATTATAGCATTAGACAGAAGTTAAATAAGGTACTTATTATGGTATACTCTGTGACAAAATATCAATAATCATCTTACTTTTAAGACTGACGGCTAATTTGCTACATATTCACTTAAATACCAGCTGCTATACTTAACTGTTGTTATTTAAGCTATCTATTATGAGTATTTAACTTACTTAAATGATTTAATAACTATTACAATAAAAAGTGTTCATCTTAAAGAACCTAAAGAAGCAGGGTTGGATAGTTTCGGCACGATTCTCATGTCACTATAACTCTACCAAATTTAAAACGTTGCCTAATCCGTTCAAACGTTACTGCAGTACAACTTTTTAATTTTGTCAAACTATGATGATGTATTCATAATTGTCAAAATACGTAATCTGGGATTGTCATCCATTATGAATGCTTCTTTCTTGTGGTTTTGCTATTTTCTGTGATTAAGTTGTTATTGTTTTATTTTCGTTTTGTTTTTTTTTTGTTAAGTTTTGTTAAATATGGACGATACCGGTGCAGGCCCAAGTGGCCTGACCTTTGACATTTCAGGAAGTTTTTCCAATGTCTTCATCAATAGTCTGAATAAATGTTATAAAAATAATAATCAAGTATTTTTTTGTTTACCTTTCTTTCTTGGGTATAGATATAACTAAATTCTATTCTAATAATTACAATTAGAATTCATCAAAACAACACAGATAGTTTTAGTTCCATGTTGGCTTGATGGCTAGAAAATGCTGGCTTTAGAAAACCATCTCAACCCCGAGGTATCGTAAAAAATTGAAAATTGCCCAGCTCTTTCAGACTACAAACGTTCAAAGTTTCAACAAAACTATAATATATAATTTTTAAATTTATCTTCAAAATAAAATGTTCTGCACTGCTTTTTCTATGACCCTTTTTTTTCTAATGTTATAATGAATGGAGTATAATAAGGTTATTAACATCATCATCATCATCAGCCCTTTTACGTCCTCACTGCAGGGGCTCAGGCCTTCTTTAAGGATGGAAGGCCATGACCCTCGCTGGCCCAATGCGGATTGGAGGGTAAATAACAAAAATATTTTTTGAAAGTATATACATATACATCTGTATAAAAAATAATTTATCTACACAAATATTATAAAGAGGAAAAGTTTGTTTGTTTGCATTGATAAGGTTTGTTTGACTCCAAAATACCAGAACAATTTTAAAAAAATTTTCACCTATGGGAAACTAATTTACATGAGCCAAGTCACGAGAAAACAGCTAGTTTAACAGTAATTTTGACTTTGATTTCGGCAGAAATAATGCGAAAGTTAAACCAAAATGGAGATTTTTTTGCGCACATACAGTGATGGAATGCTTGCTCTGGTGAGACAGTGTGTCACACAAATTGATTGAGACCCAAAAATGTATAATCACCATTTTGGTTAAACTTATGAGCTGTGCATTATAAAATAACCATTAAGAAGAGTTATAATGAAAATAATTAGACTTGTATCCAAAAAGAGATCCTCATATTTACCTTGAGGAGTTGACATACAGCTTTGATATTTGTTTCTTTGTCTGTGTCCAATAGATGAAGTAGTACCTTACAGAGACTTTCACCAAGAGATTTCAATCGTCCACCCTGAAAATATATTCATTATGAACTAATTTATCACCAGTTATCAATTTTAATAGTTTAAAACACACTATACATTGTCTTCAGCAACTTGTGTCCTAGTTGACTAATTAAAAATGTATTGACAGGCAGTAAATGTGGTCATACTATGTTGCCCCACTAACACCGATCTTAACTTTTTAGTATCATTATAAACATGATGTATTACAACTATTTTATTTTATATTTTTTCATTAACTTGTGATTTGAAGCTAACCTAACTTATTCAAATTATAATACTAGCTTTTGCCCGCGACTTCGCCCGCGTGCTCTAATTGTAAGTCCAGAAATGAGAAAATTCCACAAAAACTTTCATCCCCTAATTTACCCCCTTAGAAGTCGAATTTTGTAAAATCCCGTCTTAGTGAGCACCTATGTCCTAATAAGAATATGAAACTCCTAGACCTTGTAGTAACTAAGTTTCATACAAAATTTCGTCCCCTAATTAATTCCCTTCGGGGTGGAATTTTCAAAAATCCTTTCTTAGTGCTCCTCTACAGTCCCTAAGGAATCTTCATTCCAAATTTCAACTTTTTACACTCAATAATTTCGGCTGTACGTTGTCTGTCATTAAGTGAGACAGTTAGACACAAGAATTTTATAGTAAATAGAAATTTTACTTTGCCTTTAATAAAACATTATTGTTGTATTATTAACCTGGCTATCTTCCAGTTGAGTGTATATCTCAGCTAAAAACATTGCGAATCCACGCATATTTTCTTCAGATGTCTCGACACCACTGATGATCTTACTCTCCTCAGCGGAGCAACGTTCCAAAAGGCAAGCGCGGAAAGTAGACTCCTCGGGCGGCGCCACAGAGTCGTACATCGAACACAGACGCGCGCCATTGTAACGGAAGTTCGACTCTCCTATTGACTGTGTATCGGAATAACGTACTTTTATTCAAATAATAATAAAAACACTGATCATAATACATATTAATCTGACTAAGAAGCTCAATAATCACCCAGATCTGTCACAATTTGGAAGTTTGGAATGCAAGGTACAATGCCTGTATTTTTTATTTATTTATTAAAAGGTTGGGCTGTGAAAAATTATGTACAGTTTTGATGACCCAAATAATGTAATTTTATTACTAGTGCAAGATGACAAAAAACTTGCTTTGTAAGCAATTATCATAAATAAATATAAAAAATATCAACAAGCATTATTAACAATATCATTGTGCTGATATATTAATTTCAAAACATCATCATATATTCAATGCAGAAAATTGTGCATAGAATATTTCTTTTAAAATGTATTATATAGAATTCTTATATCATAAAATATGACATAAATGTTCTTACCTGGTTGACGATGGCCTCAACCAAAGGCCTGGTGTAGCTGGCATCATGCAATGTCAAGGCAAAAGAGTCCACGAGAGGGCCACAGAGAGTGTCAAACTTGCCTGGGTCAAATGTTATCTCACACATGACGGTAATCAAGTTGGCGATGTTTTCCTATTAAGATAATAAATAATATATTTATAGTAATTACAAATTTATAAGGATTATATAAAATGTAACCATGTCATGATACTTTTTAGCTAAGACAAGTCAAGACCACGGAATCTAGTAAACAGCAGAAGTTTTAGTATATCAGGGCATCATTCTAAGATAAAAAAATAACAGCCAAATCCTAGATCCTGGTGAAATCAAAAAGGACAATGCCAATACACAAATAAAAAACACATGGAGTATCACATTCTACATATATCGAATGGACTTTTCTTCAAAGCATACAAAACAGATACCAAATTTAAATAAAAATGTGGGTACAGAAGGTTTTTAATCATAAACTCTAATAAGAATACAGCACACATGAAATAGACGGTCAACTGATATATTACAACAAACATCTGGATTAATTGTCAACAAATGTAATTAAGCCTCATTGTTATAACTTATTTTTAGATTCTAGAAATATAATAGAAGACATATACATTATTATGAGTTCTCTCATATTATAACTGGTATTACATTAAAGTTAGATCCAGTCTCCTCATTATTCTTACAGTAAACAATAACCAGTTTTGGTAATGACAGATAATTTATGCATCCTTATATTTATAGTATTTTTGTGTGAAAATTTGATAATCTGAGAGTATGATGGAATGAATCGACAGTGTTAATGTGTGGCACGGAAATAGCATCCAAATTATGTTTTTCTGGGTTTCTGATTTCACAGACTATCTTGTGTTACTATGATTGTTTTGTCTCAATCAGACCCAAAACTGTGCTGCTATGCATTGTGCACCTTATGTGCTGCAATATGTATATTATTTTAAGCAATTCTTTATTATATATTATACTAGCTGACCCGACAGACTTCGTCCTGTCAAAAAGATTTGTAATGTGGCAGTTTTTTTGCCTACGTATTTAAAAAAATTCTCCTGAACAGAACCGTCACCCTGGTGATAGGGCGTTGTGAATAAAAAATAATTAAATAAAACATATATAAGGATTTAAAAGTAAGTAATCGCTTTATTGTTAATCATGTGAATCATAATTATTATTGCAATGTATTAATAGTAATAGTATTAAATATAGAAAAAAGAGATTTTTATGATCATAAAAACACATTACACACAACAGCATTATAAAAGTAAACTATTCGAATTAAAAAAATATATAAACATTCTCAAGGAAAAATGCTGGAAGAATCCATCTACCTGTACCCCGGAATGGGACTCGAACCCATTCGCGATCCAGGGACTGCTCTAACCAATGAGCTATCTAGGACCCAACAGCTTTGCTACTACAGAGCGTATTTTCATCAATGTTCCGGCAATACATGTAATGACGTGGAAACTGATGCATTTTATCTCGCGTGCCGAAACTAATACAAAAGAAACGCGAGTTTCGGAACGCGACATTAAACTCCTCCAACTATGTATTCTGTGCTCCAACGCACACACGCACATTGTTTTGATAGATATGATCTTTGACGTTAGGAACACACCTACATTGCTTAGACAACAGTGAGTGCTTGTAATTTAATATGAACTTTATACCATAGCAATAAAGCTCAAATTGACTACGTTTTAGTTACAAATCATTTGTATGGGAAAAAGAAAAGGGCTATTTTTAGGGTTTTTCCAGCAATAATTCTAATTTTTCTCGCCGTAAAAACCATCCTTGAACTTCAACGAACATTTTAAAAAAAGATTTGGCCAAATTGGTCGAGGCGTTGTTGAGTTATGCGCTTACCAACACATTTTGCGATTCATTTTTATATATATAGATTACAACACCCTTATTAATAAAAATTTTAGCCTGACAAAGTAAATAATGGATGCTTATATACAGTAATATTTTATTTTGCATCATTAGACTGCGAAGTCTTTTGATATTATGGTTAGCTAGTCAAATATTACTGATATAGACATAGTGCTCTTCTATTGTCATTCTAGGATAGGTTAGAGATCATCTATGTGTCTGGGACAATATAAACTACTAAAGTAGACTAAATATTGGAATTATCAAATTTACTTTTCTATTACTCACCCGTAAGTCCATATTCTCTGCTTCTTCAAGGGAGTATGACATATCATCAAAGTTGTATGGATGCTGATCTTGCGCTTGGCGCAAACGATCTTGGACCGAAAAGCGCGGCGGCCTATATGGGCCTGGTTCAGCAGGCACAAATGTTTGCGCCTGGGGGTTGTAATTTGGTGGATACCATTCTTTCGCTTCCGCCGACAAATTTGATTTTGGAGGTTCCACTAGAACAAAAAAAAAACGTGAACACGTTAATTTGTTCCAACAACGTTCCAATGTTCCAACGTTGTTCACTAAATAAATGCAGTGACCCACAAAATGACAATAAATAACATTATAATAAAATTTCGGTTCGATCGGCCGCCTCTGTCAATCTAGGCGACGACGTCATTAGAAATGAAAATCCTTACTTTCACCTGAAGTATCGTAATCATGCAGAACGCAGTATAACTAACTAGCCAAGTATGACGACGGTAAATAGCGCCGAATTAATAAACGAGAAAGTTTACAGAATAGACAGTTTTAAAATACCTCTTGCATCCTCGGTTACAATTCGGGGCCGGCGAAGCTCCCTTGGTTGATTTTCTGGCTGCTGCCAACCGCGGCCTCTACCTCTAGGCCCCCCTAGGTCTCCGTTGTTCATTTCATACAGTTCTTGATAAAACTTTGAAAAAAACACTTTGAAATAATTCCATAAACTGTAAATGGTTTCCTGTTTAATCTAAGTGGAACGTTACAAGAAATCGACACGTAAACAAAGAAATTATACTGCGCTCAAAGAACCACCTCCATGTTATTTGTTAGAATGAGAAAGTGAGTTAGAGCGAGATGAAAAATTTAAATAACTGTTACGTTCCGATTACTTAAAAGCGACATTAGAACACATTCTATTAGAAAATCATACAAGTTTCGAAAACTTGTAAGTTTTGATCACGTGTTTAATCTTGATAAGATTATTTATAACCTTATATACTCTAAGTTAGTAAATGTCGCGAAACGGTAGTGATGGGTCCCTCACTGATGAGGTACCGTTTGAGGTCCTCGTTTCGACAAAATAAAGGAGTCCTCGTTCTTCAACTTTGAATCACCTCATTTAGCATTCAAGTACGAGGTGCAAACACAGATAATATGCTTCACCCAACAGAATGAGGAAGTATTAAAAAAAAAATCGTTTTCGAAGTCAAACTAGATGTCGCTACGGTACGTTCTTGATTTCTCCATGAGAACCCTTCCGGTTTTCTTTTATGTTTAAAAGTAAATTATTTTTCAAAACTCAATAAACTACTCATATTCAATTTATACTTTTTCGTATTTGTGTATCTAAGTTTGGAACTTTTAAAAGTTCAGTTTTTTAATATTTTAGTTCAACTTTTTTTTAATACTTCCTCATTGTGAGTTGCTTAGAAAGAGAAAGTATTTAAAAAATAAAGCACTAAAAAAGCACCTCACTAGATGGTGACTCTAGCAAAAGTTGATTTTTGCAGGAAACGAACAGACCAAAGTGAATCCCTCAATCAATCGTTTACATGTAGATTATGTATCGACTCAACCTGTAATGAAGTAGGTATTGTTAAAAAAATATCAGTTCCCGAAATCAAACTAGATGTCGCTACGGTACTTTTTTGATTTCTCCATGGCAACCCTTGCGGTTTTCTTTCATGTGTAAAAGTAAATTAATTTTCAAAACTCAATAAATAATTAATATCTTAGTTGCGAACGTTGGAATTTTTTAATACTCGTATTATTTATCATTTCATTCTAGTGAGATGGTTTATTCGTTTTTTTTGAATACTTTCTCATTATCAGTGTTGTTAAGGATCTGTCAACTCAGATTAATATCTAGTTGCACAAACGCAACTCGATTAATACGAACGAGTTTTTGAATAAATTTCTTTTTTGTTTTATACATTTTGAGAAGAAATAGGAGTTTTGTAACAAAAACATATTTTTTCTGTTAATTTTGCTCGCTTTACGCATTAAATAGTTGTTCGAAAAAAAAATTCAATTTGGTAGATATATATCTTCACTCAGTCAGCACTGAATGTGGCACTGAACTTATCGGGTTGGCTAATAAGTAATGAGCGTTTTAATTTTTACTGTCTAGAAACTGAGTAGGGTCAAGAATCGTGAACATGCACGCACCCTATCCGATCTAGCTAATCGCTCCACTTCAGGGAGTCAGCTGTATTGCAAATCCGATGAGCCGAGCCCCCCGGAGTTAACGGCTAACATCTCGATGTTAAAATTCATGTAGGTCTTTATCCTTTGGACCTTTATCCTCGCAAGGTGATGTTCTCGGTATGGTGGGGTGTACATAGTAACACACTGGGAAATTCTTCCTACCGATATCACGATCACAGCGAACACATACTGTAACCAACTTGATAATCTGAAGCTTGAACTTCATTGTAAGCGTCCACAACATGACAAATTATTGTCCTTTGTGATAATGCCCGACCGCATATTGCTAAGAGTGCCCGACAGAAACTATTGGAGCTGAACTGAGAAATAGTTCCACACCCATATTCATTGGACTTAGCGCCAACAGATTTTAGTTTATTCTGGTCATTTAGTAATCATTTGTGCTTTCATGATGAATCCTAGTTACAACAATACATAGTTTATTTTCAAATCCAAACCGACAAAGTATTACAGAGACACAATCCAATCTTTGCCCATAATTATACTGGTAGATAATGACGGTGATTACATTATGAATGATTAGCTATTATTTCATAAATAAATAGATAAAAATGTAATAAAAATAGGTTATGCATGTCGCTTATTTTTCATTAACCAACCTGATATTTTGGAATGTCTATTACCTACATAAATACTATGGTTTTGAATAAAAGTTCCATAAAAAATAAGACACTGAAATTCAATCTATTTAATTAAAGGTTTTATTTACAAAAAGAAAGAATTTGAAAAAAAATCAAACTAAAAATAAACATTATATATACATTACCAATGCATTTGGTATCAATTTAAATTACACTATGTGCAAGTTCTATTTCACAAACCTTTAGCTAACAATAATATTATAATCTATTCAAAAATATACATGCATGTTCAAATGAATGCCAATGCATGTGTTGGTATTCATATGAACTATTGACAAAACTCAAAACATAATGCTGAATCAATACAATTGTTAATAGGTTCTATTCTAATATCAGAGATTACTTATTAGACTTGGATTATTATGACTATCATTGCTATATTGAATATGTTATTTCCTTCTTAAATGATCAGAATTAAGTAAAACTATCAATGGGACCTTCATATACTAAATGATTCTCCACAACCACATGTTCCTTTAATATTTGGGTTATTGAATACAAATTCTGCTGATAATTTATTCTCCACAAAGTCCATTTCAGTTCCTGAAAATAAATATTATTTTAAAAGTGATGGACCCATACAATGGATTAAGTTTATTTATTAGCCTAACATTCATTTAGTTATAATAATTGGTGTTCTTACTTAATAATTTTAATACACAATTATGTATAACTACATTTTTTTATTAATCTTGAAACATTTAAGTCATACATGGAATAGAACTTTATTTAGGATGAAAACAATTTATTATGTAACAACTCACCTAATAAAGTCAATTGTGCTTTCTTGTCAATTATTATAGTCACACCGTCTTGTTTTACTTCTTCATCTAATTTTTCCTTACTTTTGGCGTAATCTAATGTGTACGATAACCCATTACATCCTCTTTGTCGTACGCCAACTTTTAAGCCCACAAAACCTTTTGCTTCTTCTTTAGACATGAGTTCTTTGATTTTATTAACAGCTGAAGGTGTAAGAACCAGCGCTGCTCGCGAAGGTAATACCCGTTTTTTTACAGCTCTAACAGTAGCACTAGCGATTGTTTTGGTAGCCATCTAAAATATAGTATCCAATAAACAAACCTCGACAAAATATAGTCATACACAATGTCGTACGCGTGGTGCCAAAAATCTCGGTACTACGCATTAACATTGTGCATCCTAGTCAAATATATTTAAGGATGGGATTGATTGATAATGGTAATTAATTGGATCACTTGCCTCTGTTTTATTGATCTTATTAAGGAATTGTTTTTTTTTTCTTTACTCAGGACATCTGAACTGACACTTCAAATTTTTATGACATTTTGTCAACATGTCAACGTCATTTTTTTTTTAACACAATCTTTTTTTTTCTTTTTTGAAGCTTTGGCTACACTGACCATCAGCTAAAACATTAAATGTTTGACACAATCTTAAAGTAGCACAGACAAGCCATTAATAAAAGAAGAAGAAGGTAGCACAGATTAATAGCAAACCTTTACCTATAGTAAGAAAACACGTTTCTTTTTATACAAGAAAGTTGTATTCTGTGGAAAAAAATGACACGTCCAAAGAGTAAATGATATGACACGTCTTCTATAGCGCTCGTGTATCGTGTAGGTAATGATTTTAGTCTTAAAACTCAAATGAATTGAATTTGTAAATTAATAATGGGTGGACAAAAGTTCGAATATGATGAGAGTGGATCTACGTTCTTTTATTTTGTCCTCTCGTTCCTCGCTCTAATCTTAGTGCCGGCGACATTTTATTATTGGCCCAGGAAAAGAAAAGAAGGTAAGTTTTTTTATTTATATCCTTAAAGAGCTTATTCCATTCGCACGCAGCCTGTATAAATTCAGTCTAATTTAATTCTTTAGTAAAGATAAAGAAGCACTATCTAAAATAAACCTCTCTTAGATTCATAATGTGTGTTGTCGTACGATAGTTGTAATCATTTCGAGTCTGAATTATTAAGTAGGTTTAATGGTGTCATTTTTATTTACAGACCCAGAGAAACGTGCAGAACTATGTCAATGCCCCAATTGTGTAAAAAAACAGTTAATCATAGAGCAGTCACAACCATACAAGGGTGTAAAAAATTTCTTTGTAAAACTAGCAATAATATCTGGATGGGTGTTACTCGGTTTTCTTGCATACAAAGTTTCACAATTTGATTATGAAATGTCAAATTTTGATCCTTATGAAATATTAGGCTTGCCACCTGGTGCAACTCAGGCTGAAATTAAGAGGTCTTACCGTAAACAATCATTGATCCTTCATCCTGACAAAGAAACGGGTGATGAAAAAGCTTTCATGAAACTCACAAAGGCTTACCAGGTAAGACAGATCATTATTTATATATATTACAGTAGTAAATATGTATACATTTCTTATTGTAACTAATAGGGGTGACAACTGGGTAAAAAAAAGGGATTATTTAGTCTGTTAGTGGGATAACAGAAAAAATTAAGATAAATATATTTTACTTCAATTTAACAAGAAATAGCTTTGATAACAGGCATTAAAGTTGACGAGTGGGGGCTCGTTAATATCACAGTATTGTAGAAAATATACCAAAGTGTGAAATTTTAACTCGCTGTAGTTTAATGATTAAGAATAAAAAAATAAAAAATATGAGTTCAATATTTTTCAACAATCTACATGACAAACAAACAAAAATTAGTCATTATCTCTATTAATAATACAGTAGAATATCACTAGAAATCCATTGTTTGTATTAATCATTTAATCAAGCTAGTGAGACATGAGCAGAGGGTGCTACATTATTAGATATGTCGGTCTCTTGAAGTGTGGGATTAGTGAGATTCTACTATAGCTTTAGGTTTACTCTTGATGTTGACCTTATTTCCTTATTACACAACACTGCTTAGTTATAATAATAAGATGTGGACTATTTACATATTGCATTAAGTGATTTATATAAAAAAATTCAAGGCTCTAACAGATGATGAAGCAAGAAGGAATTGGGAGAAATATGGCAATCCTGATGGTCCCGGTGCTATGAGTTTTGGTATTGCTCTACCAAGCTGGATTGTGGAGAAGGAGAACAGTGTGTGGGTGCTTGGACTCTATGCACTTGTGTTCATGGTTGCTTTACCTACTGCCGTAAGTATACAATATAATTTTATTACTTTTTTATGTAGGGAAAATGCTTTATGCGTACCCTCTTTACTGCCTAGCGAGCAAAGAGGTTCTGTGGGGGTCTTCACTGTGAGTCCATCCAGCTGATATACATGCAATTTATAAAATTGATTAAATATAATGTGATATTCACTATATATTCTTCAATAACATAAATAGAAAAATAATTACTGAACATTATGTTGTAATATTCAGGGGACTAACTTACTCCTAATAATGTTAATTTCATTTATAGGTGGGTACATGGTGGTATAGAAGTATTCGTTTTTCTGGAGAGCAAGTTTTGTTGGATACAACACAGTTGTATTTCTATTTCTGTCACAAAACCCCATCTATGCCTTTAAAAAGGGCACTTATGATTTTGGCTGCATCATGTGAATTTGATAAGAGGCATAACTCAGAAATTGTAGAAAGGATTACTGATAATGAAGAAGTACCTATGGTAAGTCTACTTTTGTCTTATTACATGAATTTTATTTATACTTTGTATATTTTATTATTAATTAAATAAACTTTTAGCCATCAAAAACTTAAATGATTTTAAGCCAAATGATTTCAAGCAATCATTGGCCACTAAGAATGAGAAAAAATTGTGCCCTAATATATTTTTCTATTTTTATAATTATCTCTTTAATAAATAATATAAAAAATACTTTTTTAATTTGCATGTTGCAATAACCTTCAATTTAGGCAGAATTTAGCATGAATTCAATTTAATATCTCCAATATACCTTTACATATTCCTTTCCTTGGTTATCCTATGCAAATAAATAAAATTAGATTCCCTGTTTAAAAATCTCCAGATTCTTAAAACTTCCCTCATTAGAAGCAACAATGTATGTTATAGATATAATTTTTATAACAAGAATAAGCTATGCAATCACTGGTGACTTTGCCATCATAACTTATGTAACCTTTCACCATGCTTGATCATCTTTGCGGTAACATGACAAAATCTGGTTTGACAATCAGTAAGTCACGTTGCAAAATATCATCAGTGCGTATGTAGTTTAAAAAAACTACCTTCTTGCCCTTTGAACCCTAAAAATATTACTTTATTTCTTTTAAATTTTGCATGTCAGGTTACCACATATTCTCTAATAATTTAAAACATTAAGGATTAAAATTATGTGGAGAAATTTGGCAGATTTCAGAGTGATAATAATAGGGATTATGAGTGGGTATAAAAAATGCAATTCTATTTATTCCGTCAGTCAGATAATAGAAAAATATTAGACACGTATTTTTTTTTTTACTTCAATTTAAGAAGAAATAGCTTAGATAACAGGCATTAAAGTTGAGGAGTGGGGGCTCGCTACGTCACAGTTGAGTAGAAAACGTACTCTAACGTGACGTCATGCGAAATTCAACTCCATGTAATACCGTAATTTTATGATTACGAAAAAAATACGTGTTTAATATTTTTTAACACTCTACCTGACGGACAAACAAACAAAAATTAGTCATCATCCCTATTATTGATAATTTTCTTGATAAGACACCACACAAACTGTAATTTAGGACTCGTTATTAAAGACAAATCATCTTTAAATAGCTATCAAAAATTGTCTATGGTGGACCTACAAAACCAAAAAAAATAATTATGTATAATCTGACGTGTTGTATTTGTTTAATGCATTTACAGTTGCTTCGTGAATTACCTAATCTTGGCGAGAAGAATAAAGAGCAGCCACTCTGTAGGCCGTACAGTATAAAAGCGCGGGCTCTCCTCCACGCGCACCTATCTCGCATGCGTTTACCCGCCGACACGCTCGAATGCGACCGTCGCTACATCGTGTCGCGGTGCCCCGATCTCATTGTCGAGATGGTCAACTGCGTCAATCAGCTCATCGCCCTTGCTTACGCCCGCAGAAGTATGACTTGCTCTCTATTTATTTTTATTATTTACTTTCGAATTTATTATATACTAAATGTCTTCCCGCGACTTCGCCTGTCATTATAATGTTAGTACAAATATAGACAACCTGTTTCGTGATCAAAATTATTATTATTTCTTTAAATAGCCAATAAATCTCAAATGATGCTGATTGGTTGCATGTTGTTTATTGATAGACAAAATTGTGGGAGTTACTTTAAACATACTTGATAAAATCATAACACTCCCTTTTGCTTTGATGCAGTCTGGTAATTATTTAAAGAACTCTTTTTTTTTTACAGTACCTCGTCTGCCAACTATTGAAACAATTGAGAACTGTATGAAATTGTCTCCGATGATAGTGCAAGGGTTATGGGAATATAAATCACCTCTCCTACAGTTACCATATATTACAGAAGATCATCTTAAATACTTTACAAACAGGAAGAAACACATTAAGTCGATGCTCCAACTGGCACAGCTGCCAGGCGAAGAAAGAAGGCAGGTGCTGAAATTCCTTAATGATAAACAGTATGATGACTTAATGAAAGTACTGGGAAACATGCCTTATATACATTTCCAAGTTAATACTGAGGGTGAGTAAAAAAAATAGTGAATCTTTTATCTCATGCGTAAGGTTGATAGTCATTTCTTTATTTTTCAGTCAATTGACAATAGGGTTATTGAAAGTGATTAATATTAAAGACTAGATGAGAGTCTGGTGCACTTTGTATCTCCTTAGTATCTCTCACCGTTTAAATCTTCCCTGGAATATGACAAATGTTTCAAAACCAAAATTAGTTAAATTAGCCCTACCATTCTCTTCTCATATTTTTTATATGTTACTTTTAATACTTTCATTTTTTAATATTTTTGTAAAATTATTACAAACCCTATTATGCAACGCATTTTCCAACAAATATGCATGCATATATTTAAAATAATTTTATTTGAACCATCAGAAAATAAAAGGGCTGCATAAAATATTTTATTTAAATTGACAGTTGTCGATGACGAGAATTCTACAGTGGTGACGGCGGGTGCCATTGTTACCGTGACAGTATTTTTAAGGCGGACTAATATGAAAGAGCTTTTTGGTGACACCACTATCAAAGAGAAAGACACAATCAAGTAAGTAAAGAATATATAGATCAAATGTTCGAATGAAAAAGCTACCTTATTCCTTTTAAAATCTAGTAGTCTTCTATATTACTCATATGTTTTATGATTGAAATTCGCAAAAAAAATTAAAAGGGTCTTTGTGGTTAGTGGAAGAGCCACAAAGGTATGTTTGAATATCCTGTGATACAATGTGTTAATCTAAAACACCACAACATTTGTGGGGTTGTATTTATTTTAACGAAAATGTGTTGGTAGTAGAATTGTGGCTGCAGTGACGTCACAGTTACTCAGTGAGAATGAAACTTGATGCTGAGTCAGTAGTTGACTGTAATACCTTGAGATATTGTTGATATTTAGTATCACCAGCTTTTTTCTCTATATGCCAATATAGATGATCTCTATCCTAACCTAAAAATATAATTAGCAACAAAAATTACTAGTTAAAATTTTCTTTATTTTTACTTATTTAATATTACAGAGATGAAGAGGACGGTACCAATGAAGAGAAAGGAGATAATGATAAGAAAGGAGATAATGATAAGAAAGGGGAAAATGATAAAAAGGAAACATTCAAAAGGCCTGTATGGATGAAGCAGAATAGAAAGCCTCAATCGAAGAAAACTAAGAAACCTGCAGCGAAACAACCAGCAAAACCGGCTGCTGGGCAAGCACCGCCCGCTAATGATGTTAAGGAAACAAAGGAAGCTAAAGACCCCAAGGAACCGAAGAAGTCGAAGGAACCAAAGAAAAAAGAAGACGATGGTAATGCATTATCAATTAATATCGAACGCAGAATATTTAATAATAAAGGACATAGAAAGTTAATTCAGCAGACACAATAAATTGCAAATCTTATTACTATGTTTAAAGTGCAAATCGAATATTCACAGAGCAAAACTCTTATGGTTACACTTACCCACAGAGCAACTCTTGTTTATTTTTTAAAGACTAAATGTCTCTTTATTATTGTGCCAAATGCAGTAGGTTTTTGCCTTCATTTTAACTACATTGTATAACTGAGGTTCCCAAACTATGTTTTCTCATAGACCTGTTATGGATAAAAAAAGTATCTATTATTGTAATAAATAACAATACTAACCTAACATTACGGAGTATATAGCGGAGTGGTCTAGCTCAGTGTTCCTCAAAGTGTGCTTTGTCCGCAAAATATATGTTGGGCTTTTACGAAAATTAATAATCATATAACCAGTAAAACATTACCAAAGGAAACTGACAGAAATTACATCTTGTATTGTCGTCTACCATAATGCAGAAACAAAATCTATTAAAATTAAATGTAATTATCAACAGACAGTACATATAAAACTAGTTTCAGGGCTCCATGTAAATATTCGGTTTTTAAAAGTGTTCCATTGTTAAAAAAAAAGTTTGAGAACTGCTATTGAAAGATTGTTTATTGCTGTTGAAAAATTATTTCAACAATTTCACCGTATGAACAGATGACGATTCAGAGGATGGCAGTTCAGACGAGTCTGTATCACACGCGTCCGGGTCTGAGGATGAGTCTAGGGACAAATCGTCCGCGCCCGACGACGACGACGACCAGTGGGACAAGTTCCAGAAACGACTGCAGAAGAGGGAACGTCTAGAAGGACGCTCCAAGAGTTCACATCCGGTCCATTGCCCGTACTTCCCACAGGTAATGTTCATTTATTTATTTCGTATACGCTAACAAAATACGTACAAAAATTGTTACAACTTAATTAAATCACATTTATAATATTATACTAGTACATGAAAAATGGTTCGTTTTCTACCTTTTTTCTGTTCAAGGCTTAATAATAATATTTAAAAATATTTGAGTTTATCATAGAGTATAAGTATAACAGTTCAACCTTATTAGTAAGTAACTGATTAATTTACAAAACTACGTCATTACAGTTCATAGTCCATTGCTATATTGCTTTGAATTAAAATTCTAAAAGTTTCGGAGTCTATTCTAACCCAAATATTTTTTTAATATTATGATTAAGCCTTGAATAAAAAGAAAGGTAGAAGACGGACTATTTTTCATGTACTAGTATAATATTGTAAATGTGATTTAATTAACTTGTAACAATATAAGTAAGGACCGATTTTAAAAATTCTACACCATTCGCGGGTAAAGCTATTTAATTGCCGCTGAAAAACACCCATTCTGCTATAATATCAGACATATTTATAAAGAACATTTTCTGGTTTATCTCGTAGGAGAAACAGGAGTACTGGTGGTGTTACATATGCGATCGCAAATCGCACACGTTACTAACTGCGCCCGCGCACGTGACCGCGCTAGTTGACACCCACGAGTTGCAACTGCGCTTCACGGCGCCACGCTGGCCCGGCGTGTACACGCTCGCGTGCTGTCTACGGTCAGGTGAGATAGTTCATCGGTCACTCGAATATCTTTTTTTTTTTTATGGAATAGGGGCAGTCAAGTTATATAAATATCTCTATTCATTCCAATTTTTGGACTGGCAACATAAAAGAACGGCGAGGTAATTCTCTAATTTTGAAATCGCAGTCTCTTTAAATTTATTTTTAACGAACTTCACCGAAAAAGTACAAATAGAATATGAGTTGTTTACTAATTTACTTTTAAACATAAAAGAAAACCGGAAGGGGGGTTGTCAGGGAGAAATCAAGAACGTATCGTAGCGACATCTAGTTTGATTTCGGGAACTAATTTTTTTTTTTAAATACTCTCTCAATAAAAATATTAGTCGCCGTCGAATATATAACCTCTTCCTTTTCGATTTAAAAGTCGATTAAAAATACGTTCAGGACAATGCTGTGTGAACAGGAGGGGGGGTGGGGAGGGATTTTAGATTCAATTTTCTTTATAATAATGAATTTTGTACAGATTCGTACATCGGCATGGACCAGCAACAAGACATGAAGTTGGACGTTAAAGAGGCGGCCGCCGTGCCAGCGGAACATCCGCAATGGGATCTCAGTGATTCAGACACGGATAACAATGACCAGGTCAGTTTATACTCTTAATGCGTAGCAGGGATAATACTTGGTGGTATATTTATTATTGTCGAATAGCTCGTGGATGAAGCGGCGGATCACCTCCACGGGCCCTCAGAGGTAACTTACTATTTCAAACAGAGAAAGAATCATAAAATAGGTCGACTATTGGCAAAAATATTGTGGAATATAAAAAAAAGAGTTAATAACATAAACAAACGTATAATCAAAACTATATTTTAGGGTTAACCTATTTTTGACATCACAGAATCGCCTATTTCCGTTGCTCTATTCTAAGACCTACTATGTTTCTTTGAAAACAAAGTTTTGTATTACGCAGCGGGATTTACCAGGTAATACTCTTCAACCTGTCCTTTTCAAGACACTGGTGGCAGTATTTTTTTTCGCTAGGAAATGCATAACACATACTCGCTTCACCCTACGCAATCTCCGCCAGTTATGTGGTACTCTCCCCTGCGGACCCACCCCCAGAATGAGGACTAATCAAAAATCAGGGGTATACCCACTAAAACCTAGCGATGTCCCTCACGACGAGGACGACGCACGGTAACCATTTCCCGCACGACTCGCCCCCGTTTAGGTTCATCCCTTGCAATACGTGTCCCACCACGGGTTAAAGGCAGGGCTCAGGAACATTCAAGTTCTGCATCCCAGACATAATAAGGGGCGTGCAATGTCCAGCGAGCTAACTGCTCCCTGTCAAGAGTAAGAGATGCGTGACTGAGAATTTCCCACCCTAGCCCGTCTCAGAGGGATTCATCTGGGGTGAACCCTCGTGGTAAATTGCGTAGGACAACTCCCTAGCTTCCTTTACTAACGACCGTCCGAGTTCCCTCACCAAACGAAGCCGGCAAAGGAACAAAACAGGAAGATAACCTTTGCGGATTCAAGACCTTAAGTGCGGGAACACTGACGCGCTCCCGCCACCCTAGTTCCGTCGTCTGGTCCGCACGGAGAGACATGGGGCACGAGAATTTGGCTAACTTCCAGGAACAAGAAGCCCGCGTCCCCCCCATTCCCCGGTACCCTCTCTTCGGTTAGAGATGAGAGCGACACTACCAGGGAAAGTGGTTGCAGAGTTCTGGCTTAAGGTGCATTTTCCCTCCTTTATCAAAAATAAGCCCTCTGTTCTGTCGCTCAGAACTGTACTCTAGAGTAAGAAAGATAACATGCTAACTGATGTCACTTAACCCATAATATTTATTCATTCATATAAAGGTCTTCTTTAAAAAAGTATTATTTTCGCCCGAAAAAAGGAAAACATATGCAGTAAGACTAACTAAGTAACAAATGTTTTCGATCGCACTAACCAGTGATTTGTATCTAGTACGTCATCTTCGTGACGTATTATTGGACTCGTTTAAATAGTACGTCACATGTAGCTATTTGTACAACGTCAGATTAACCGACGACCGCCGGCTGTCACATTAGTTGTTACGGCGCGTACAGATTGAGTGAACGAATGGCCAATGAACGTCATTATCACCGATTAGTCTATTAATGTCCTCTCTGATGGGGCACAGGACTTTCTCTATGGGTGACTGCCCTGTGATTCTATATGAATCTAGACCCGAATTCAAATTCACGTCATTTAAAATAGAAATTCTATTGATTCCATTTTTTGTATAAAAATACAAAACAAAAAAGGTTGAACATACGTGCCTCAGACATTATATTCCTGTCATTTCGAAACTCACTTCACTTATGCCACGAAACGTTATTACCAATTCAAGGTTGACCGGATGCCGCTTTTTGAATTCAATTTGGACACCTGAGTGAGTTCGAATTCAGGTTTAGATTTTTACAGAATCGAAGGGCTGTTTATGGACTGCAGATCTAGTTGAAACCAATGGCTAAACGTACCTTCCGAAACACGGAGAAACTAGAGATAATAAATTTTCGGTGACTCATAGTATTACTGGAGCAGCTCGATGGCATAGTGGGCAAGCGCCGAAGCCCGCGATTGTTGTTGTTAAGCAACTTTCGCAAGGATCGGTCACATGATTGGTGACCAAAAAATCGCATTTGCCTAGCGTGGAGGATCATGGCCCATCCTCCTTAACCATACATAAGGAAGGCCTGCAGTGGCGACGTAAAAGGGCCGATGATGATCCTATTACCAGCCTTTGTGAAAGTTGCTTAACTATCACATAGAGCTTCTCGGCCAACGAATCGTCAAACATATATTCAATTAGGACATTATCTCCTAATAGGTATTAGGACCTCTCTAAGCCAATTCGTTACCATTAGCTTCGATTGGTCCTTAACAGTGCTATTAATAAACAAGGTTTAGCGTTAGTGTAAATTTACACTAAAATTCCAATTTTATTATTAGTCTAAATTCATATTATACAGCAATCCTACTACCTTCTCGAAGTTAATATTACTCCTGTAGAACTTCATACTATTAAACATGAATTATGACTAATACTAAGTGCAGTCTCAGCGTAATATTTGCTGCAACGCTAAACCTTGTTTATTAATAAATAACATTATAATATTAAGGTAATATTATTGAATGTACGTTTGGCGTTCGTTGGCCGTTTCTTCGCTCGATTTGTGCGCGGCATTATATAAATTTTTGTTGAATATTTTCAGTCTTAATCGTCAGTCATATCGTGCCGAGAAAATGGGGTCATTTATTTTGTACATCGCGACAAAGATTTAGTCCGCAAACGTTTATAATTAAATTATCACGAATGAAACCTTGTGGCTTTATTATTATAGTGGATAGTTTCTTGACGTTTTTATATTAAATATTGTGAATACCCTAGACTAGAGTATCGGTAAATCTTTGCTGTTTTATTTATTTGAACGTTGCAATAGATATTCTGTTTTTTTTAACACATTGCGAGTACAATATTGAAGTTCAACGACGCCCTATATAAAAGTCTCTGAAGTAGGGGTTATATTAAGGTATAATAAATTCACAATAAATATTGCAAAAGAAACTGCAAACTGCTGAAAACGGGATATTTTAAATAACTCGTTTTTAGAGTAAAGATAACATAAGTATATATCGACGTTAGAAAACAAACACGATGTTTAAAAATTCTTTTGAACATCTATGGTAACAAATACGGTAACTCTCAATTGATAGAAACGAAAGTAAGACTTTTTTTTTCGAAAAAAAATTTTTTTTCTGCTGTAAAGAACTATTTGTGTTTTTGCGGGTTACTATGTGTTTACTTTCCAGCGTCGATTTGTACTTTTTTCGTTAAATTCGCGCCCCTTGGATGGGTAATCCGCCATTCATTGCGACTCCTATGATATTATTTCGTTCAAGACATATCTACATCAAAATTGGCGATTAGTAAGGGTGTGATTCTATTAAAAATGAATAAAAATATATACACTACATAAAACTAGCCGATTTCGATGATGGTTTCGTATAAGATCATAAACTAGTTGTGAAGACAAGAGTCACGTTTCTGCATGTCTTCCGCTTTATTTCTTGCAAAAACTATGCTTCGTTTTTACTAAATAATGGTCTTTAGGTGTTTATCAACGAAGACATTTTTATTGAATCAGAAAACAACAGCATATATGACATTGTCAATAAAATTTGAAAATTATTATTTATTTATCATTTAGTGAAATGAGGTTTGATTCACAACACTAGTATTGTGTACTATCAAAATAAAAACACTAACTGTACTCACGACCACAACTTATTAATATGCATTACGCATATTGTTGTTCTTAAGATAATTGCGGGTTTTATTTTGAACAAATACAGTGATTGACATGCTGGGCGGACAGTTGATGCGTCGTAGATACCATCATTGCAATAAATTAAATTATCTATTGTAAAGTAGTGGCTCGCTATGTTAAGACAAATAAAGGTATGAAGAAAACTTAGAATAACTCCGATGTCGGAGTAATTCTGCTGTCCCGAACCTAAACCAAATACAAGAAACTCAGAAAAACGCGCTAAGTTCGCGTGTGAATTCCTAAATGAAATATTGTATAAATATTACATAAATAAATGTATTTTTTAAATATATTATCAAAATTTTAATGCAAAGTGTAAGAAAAGTTAGAATACTAAAATAATTCACAAATTTCACTTTGAAAACGTGACAAATAATTATAGTCATTATAATTTTTTAATCCCTATTATTACTTTTAGTTTTTTGCTAAATCTTTTGTAAAACTATTCAAAATGCAGCAAAGTGAGCTGCATATTGCATATTCAACAGTTTTGTTATTAGTTATTACCAGTGATCGGAATTAGGTAGAGTTATTCATGTACTTACACTGATTTCATACAGCGAAAGAATAAAGTGGATATGCCTCAAATCCCGAGATTAATTTTAAAGAGCAAAAAAAAACCCGTGATTTTTTAAATAAAAAGTTATTTTCTTTTACACAATTTAAACTACTGCACGCACGACGTTGCCAAACTTACATCAATGACATCGGATGTCCAAAGATGTCCAAGATTGTCCATTAGAAATCCCTGGAAGGTCCACATTAATATCAACATTTCGATGCAACTACATAAATAACTCTACCTAATTCCGACCTCTGGTTATTACATTAACTAAAATGCAGTAAGTAGAACAAAATTGTTATAATCATGGCGTATATTATTATTGGTGGTAATCATGGCGTATATTCAGATAAATTTACAAATTTGAAATTAAGAGGAAATAAGTTGTAATGATAAATCAGAAACCTAAATCATTTGTCTAAATAAAAGACTCAAAAGGGTAGGTACTTATTACTCGAAAAAGAAAAACACTTTACATACGTACAAAAATCATCCTTTATTCAATTTCTTTACGTAATTATAGTTTTTCCTTTCGTAGGAAAAACGAATTCTGGTGCGCTCGGTACGCTACCCCCTATCTCTATCTATCTTATTCACTAGCTTGTTGATTTCGTCTCGTTCTCTCTTTGTTTTTATACGCAGTTTTAAATTACGGGTACTCGGTGTGGCTATGCGCGTCACGTCAGGCTATGCGCGACCATTCCACTTCTAATACAGTAGAGCGTTCTGTCCTTTCCTGTCCGCCCAATTTTCCCCGCCCCTTATGGACGATGTCAAAATAAAAGCACGTTTAGTATCTATAACAATAACTAATATGGCGAAAGCCTGTGTTTTTTTTTTATTTACTAAATTTGTTAATTGATATAGTTCTTATTTGTTCACAGGGAGGCAACGAAAGTGAATTCACAACAGATGACGAAGTGGATGAAGAGTAGTAGAAAATTATATAAGTTATTTTTATAGAGTTTATTGCGGTGCGTGGTGTATGAGAAATCATTTGTTGTATGATCGGAGTGTGAATGAATATAATATTTTATATTCCAATTTTTGTTTTATTATTTTAGACACGAAATTTTTATATTTATCAGCGCACTTATACCAATAAAAATTGTACTCTTTGTTAAGATATGAATCAAAATTCTGAGCGCGCTATGTACTCATAACAAAAGATCAAAATCCAAGCGATTTTAGACATTAATCTGTTTGTGATAAATTTAAAATGTATTAAAGAAGCTTTGTAATATTTCTGTTATATTTTCACAAACTTAAATACAGCAAACTCTTCAGATAAGTTGGTTATATAACTAACCTGTTTGTTGCATAGCAGTGTTTGGGAATCTACAAGTGTTTTTTATACAGCAAAAAGGCTAATCAATTATAAACTAACTGTTCACTGGTTAAGGTATAAAAATGTTTGAAGTTTGCTATTTTTTTAGTAAATAACTACAAGTATACTTTCGACTGTTTAAAACGACCTCAGAATGTTGATTTAAGTTTGGACGACTATGTTCGAGCAGAAGAGGCATTATGGTTATATGAGATGTACAATATTCTAAGTTACTTATCCCTGCAAGAATGAGGACCTAGTCACTACACAATGTCTTTCTCCTATAAATTTTCGACTTTCATCAATTTTTGGGCGATCAAAATTAGTGGTGCGCCAACTCGGAAAAAATTAAACTCGATTTAACCCGAGTTAAAATCCACTTAGCTCGAGTTGAACTCGAGTTAACTGGATCGACAAGCAGTGGCGTAATTATAGCGATTGAGGCCCGTGGCAAATTCATCGTACTTATTGCGTAATAGTAAGGAGTCTTCTCTGACCAGGGGTTATCTGAACTGAATCTGAACATTGTTTACACGCAACACATCCACTCACTGGCGAATGGCGATTAGCTTGCTACATATTACTAATCTGTGATGGCGATTCAAATACATCCCAAACTAAAGATTTTCTTTTTCTTTCGGCATTTTTTAAAAACAGAACATAAAACACCAATATCTACAACAATAACCGGCAGTTTAAAGTTAAACTAAAATCTACATAATATATTATCATGTAACACTTTTTTTTTTGTAACACTTGTTTTTTGTCAATTAATAAATGAACATCATACTCTTACTCAAATGATCGGCAAACTTCGCTTCATGTCGATTCCATTCGGTTTACGAACTCGAATTAGAGAGAATTCAACTCGAGTGGATTCGAGTTACGCCCAACTGGAGTAAACTCGAGTTAGTCCCTAGAGTTGACCATCACTAATCAAAATTGACAAAATTGATTCAATTTTGAATATAGTCTGTTCAACCACTAAACTGAACAGTCAGAAGGTAAGTGGGTTCGAAATAATTTAAAGCCATTGAACTTATCGGGTAATATTATTTGGTTGACTTATAATAACAATTAACATTGTGTAAAATAAAACTACATTTTTTTTAAACACGATGATCAATATTAGTAGATTGTTACAGAAGGGGCGAAAATGACCCGTATATATCTAGTTTCCTCCCTCTGGGTCGAATGGTTATAGAAAAGTTATAAAAGGTTTTTAGCGACCTTTGTTAATCTATTTTTCACTTGATTACGAAGAATTTTAATGATCCAAATAAAGACAACATCACAGTTACACATAGCTAAATAAACTAAATCTCTCATTACCTGTGTAATACACATTTTACAGTCACCAATTCAATTTGTGCCAATGCCTTTTTTTTCTTTAACAAGCAAAGAACAGCGACATATTTTAAATAAAAATAGGGATGGATGACGACTGGGTAAAAAAAATGCAATTCTATTTAGTCCGTCAGTTAGATAATAGAAAAATATTAGATACTTTTTTTTACTTCAATTTAACAAGGAATAGCTTAGATAACATGCATTAAAGTTGAGGAGTGGGGGCTTGCTACGTCACAGTTGAGTAGAAAACGTACCATAACGTGATGTCATGCAATATTTCAACTCCATGTAACGCCGTAATTTTATGATTACGAAATAAATAAAAAAATACGTGTTGAATATTTTTTAACACTACCTGAAGGACAAACAAACAAAAATTAGTCATCATCCCTATTAATATATTTTACGATGGAGACATAAAATTTACTGATTTTTAAAGTGTAAATTTTCAACGAAATATAGCACAGAAGGTGAATATTGAGGTTGTGAGTATAGAGGACAGTGACAATGATGCCGAACCATAAGAGTTCTGCAGTTTCAGTTAACTTTGACATGAAGTCATCGTGATAACGTCGTTCCCTAGATCCTGATCCTGATCCTGAGGGTCCAGTCGACCAATCTTTACTTAACCCATGCCACCCACGAGTGACACACAAAGCAAAGCAAACATTTCAATTTGGACTTTGATTTGTGCAACAAAGCAAATTATGCGCCGTGTCTCGTCCTCTGTTTTAATGATTATAAATCATCTTCGATATCACGGTAATTTAATCTAATTTGACCAGGTAAGTTTGTAGATCTATTTTTTCGAGGCATGGGTGTTTGGTAGTGTCCAGCGATGACCCCATTGCAGTGTGTCACACAAAGGGTTGTAAGAGGGTATCGTCCTCGGTCGGAGGCTGCGCGGGCGGCCGCGGCGGTGGCGGCGACGGGCAGCGGGGAGGGATAGCGTCGCGGCCCGCGCCCGACCGCCGGCCGCCACTCGCGCGCCTCAGCTCGCATCATATCCACGACCGAACGACCGACGCCCGCGCCCGGTGTCGTATTACCGCTCTAAAAATATCCCGCGAGCGCGATCGCCTATTTAGAAACGGTCGCGCGGCTTGTTTTGAACCAGTGATTGACAGTGTCAAGTGAAGAAACCCTCGGGTTCCGCGAATTATCGACCGCAGACGTGAGTATCCCTTAGGTTAGGCCTTCGCGCCCGCACATATTATGTTACTGCATTCGCGGTTTTAAAATAAACAGCTGTTCTCGGAACCGATATTGATGTAATACGCTAATTTGGGATAACGCTTTCAGTTTAGTTTAGATTATAAGAAACTTGAGATCTGCGTATAAAAAGATGTTTTCACCTTATTAATATATCGAATAAGAGTCTTATAAGAAAATCATATGTAAAATTATTTAGAACGTCGAACTGTATGAAATAACTACCCTAATAGGTAGTATAAGAAATAAGCCAATGAAAAAATTGCATTCATCCTATTATGAATTCTTCACTAAAAATCTTACAGAATAATTAGTTATTGGATAAACAAAATGCGGGTAGGTACTTAACCAATCTCATGGATAATATATTGATGTATTTTATTTATTTACTTGTCTTTAAAGTGTCTCTGGTCTTGGAACTTGGTCAATTGCATAAGAGTACAAACCCGCGCCATATCATGAGTCAGTAATGTTATTTTATAAAATTCAGCCGTTTGGCATCGAGGATCGCAGAACTAATTGGCAATTATACAGAGGAGCTGACCGCCACTCTCAGCCCCGGGTAGATCGTGATCACGATGAACCTTGAAGATAGTTACTCGCTTTTCTTCACGGATAATGTTCGCGTCAGTTATTCCGAAGAATGCCAAAACGTTTTACGTGGCGGAATCTTATTTATTTTCATGCGACGTTTCAAGTTCAAGGTGAAATAATTTATTGAATTCTATTATCGAAATTCAAAACTACATAACTACGTTACTATGCCAAAGGTTTGATTTCATTGTACCTACTTAATGGATTCATACGAAACTAGCGGTTAGAGACCGACCACAGATAAACATTTGATTTCAAAAGAATCCAGCAAACAGCAAATGATTCGGTACCAAGTAAACAGTTGCGATTCAATCTGAAATATGATTGAACAACTTGTTGTTTAAAGGTACCTTTCATGTGTGCCTCTAAAATTTAATAGGAATTTTCGTATTAAAACATTTGATGTGAAATTTTTGTCAAATCAAACTTCGTTTTGAATTGTGTAAATAATTATTTAACTACCCAACCAAGTAAATATAATAGTCACTACAGATTAAAATTTCAAACAAATGAAAAAGGAAAATTAGATTTTTTAGTTTAGAGAATGGTACAATAAAAAGAGACAGCATCATTAGCGTTCATAAATATTAAGTCAATCAATATTAAGGTTAATTAGGCTTACAAAAAACTGTGTCGTAGCCACAAATAAAACTGTCGCTCCGGTTTTAACAATTCTTTCACCTATGGGTTGCTACATATACAGGAAGTTCATAGCTGTGGTACTACAGCTATGAAAAATTTACTTTAAAGTTTTGTTCCATTTCTACCTTTTAGTTACATAAAATCCTACACAGCAAGGAACTCGAAGGTTTTATAACTTCAAGACTTGTGTCTAGACTAACCACAGAATACCTTACTACGTAAGAGGTTGTACTAACACAATATTACGATACTGATAAATAGGTACCATAACACTTCAAGGTATACCGTCGTATTACTTTATTATAATACATTCCTGATAGGAACATATTTCATGTAAGTATGTACACATTAAAAAGCATTTCGCTCAGAATTTTCTTGACATTCCGTTCGATACTAAATACAAGCGAAATACAGATAGCATCTTCATGGCAGTGGGTTCAATATGGCCTGCAGTTACGATTGGTCCCATCCCAGCATTGGCCACGGGCGCGCGATGAATCGGTCCGCGGACTGATAATGGGCCGGTTAAACGAGTCCCAAGTAACAGAGTGCAACAACCCAAACTAAAGGGAATTTTAAAACGCACATAGGTGCTTGCGAGCCCTTTGATTTTATAATACAACTTTTACCAGCGACTTTCTCGTAACTTCAATGTCATGTTATTACTCGCCTTACCTTCGAACATAGGTAGGTACAGCTGTATTTTACGACTCGACGAACAAAGGATGAGGAAAAACAATATGCAAATTTCTGTAAAAGTAATTCTTATTTTCCATTAATATTACAAATGTGTGGTATAATGTCGGCGAGATGCGCTTCTATTTATTTGTAGAAGGTATTAGTATATTTTATTAGTCTTCCTTATTACCTTGTCACGTTAAATAGTTATTTAACTATCTGCATGGGTTGCTGCATGTTATGTTTACTTAATAACATTGCTAATGTATAAACTGATCAATTAATTATTTTTTTATGTTTTATGCACATTCCCCTATCTAGAAAAATAATGAAAATCAATCATGGCCTAAATCTAAAATTAAGCTTCTGATTTATTTAATATCTATTACAAATCATTGTAGGTAAATAATCAATAAACGAAGCTCTACATATCGTTTCAATACTATAAACAAACGACATTCTGTACTATACCACAACCACAAACTATTGGTACTTACCCCTATAACAATGTAGTTCGCACAAACATTTATTGGATTATTAATTTCTATTTGATAATTTTATGCAATCAAATTTTTTTATATTATTTGTATTGCATTTTTGTTTGCGAAAGGTTTTGGATTCCAGTCAGGATAATGAACTTGTAAGACACCTACGATTTCACGTCACACTGATAGTTTAGCTAGGAGTGTAATATTCGGGCTTAACTAAGGTATATACTTGCTAGTAAAAAAAAGAAGTACACTTGTGTATCAAGATTGAGTCCTCATAAACAACCTCTATTTTTTATTATTTTTAGAAACAAGGACTAGGTATTTCAGCATGATAACCTATCTATTGTGTGGCAAGATTCTCCAACTCATAGAGCGCAAAACCCACAAAAACCGTCTAGAAGTCATGTATGCCAATACTCCATTCCAAACTTAAATCCAATGGACTATAAAATGTCACAATACTTGGGATTGGGCCTAGCACTAAACCATATCCTAAATAAAATTTAATACCGACATCGTGTTCTGGAAAATATAAATAATTGGGTACATAATACAAATATCTCATATTTTTGCAATACACATATAACAATTTATGATACGACTATATATCATATCAAAATAATAAAAACATTGGCAAACTGTGTCGAAACGTATAATCGTAAATGGTTTTGTGATCGCGCGTCAATTTCCTGGATTTATTTTTACTACAGGTATCTCAGAAAAATATGAAATTTCCTAAACAATAACTGACGGCATTGCATGAAATCATAGCCTGAAATAGTTTGTGCAGTCATTCGTACTTATTTGGCCGTTATTGTAATCAGGCCATTAAGGAAACACATCCATGAAATGTTCTCTATAATAAAGCACGTACCTAGTTGATAAAATATATTAAAAATTTATAAATACTCCTACCAATATAAAAAACACTGATGTCTATGAATGGAATAAGTGAGTTTTAAGTCGAGTCGCTAAAGAATCGCGTCTTTTTTTTGCGTTTCGTACGTTCTTATTTTACTAAGAACTTTTTGTGACACATTTTTCGATCTTCACAGATCAACGGACGATAGAGTTTCCAAAAAACAAGCATCAACTTAATGTTTTATAAAATAAAAAGTATGATATGAATAACGCTCATTAGCAGTGACAAATATTTGAAAGATTTGGCGGTATTTGATAGTTCTGCTTGCTTTGTTATTCTGGTTAAAAATAACTTCACCTCAAACGCGGCGTTGAACGTAATACTGTGACAACATAGAGCTTCAATTAAATTAAAGCAACAACCTTTATTACCTTTTAAAATAGGTTTTATTTAATTTAACCTATGACGAGTTCGACTTTTATTAAAAAATGCAGACGATTAATTAATTACAATAGTATCATTGCTTACAACTTATATTAATTAGTATTGACCTAACGATATCGACGGGGCCTTTCTTTGAAGTCTGTATATCATTTTAATTTTATTAGCATAATAAAATTAATTATGTTAATTACAAATAGGACTTGATAGGAATGTTTATTTAACTCAGGTCTTGTAAAGGAAATTAAGTTAGAGGAAAAATACAACAACATCTAGTCACACTTTTAAAGAGAAGTTGAATATTTTAAAAGTATTTTATTATAAAAGTAACACCAACATTATTTTATACCATTGTTAAAAGAAAATGTATAGTACACTACATTAATTTATGAACAACAATAAATTACTGATACGCATTACACTACATGAAGGTACATACTTTGAAAGCTAACACAAGTTAGTAACTTAAAAACTCGGAAGTTAACTATCTAAGAAAATTTTCTTAATTATTTTAAAATGTTTAAAATCTAAAAAGTAATAATATTGCTGTTAGAGGTAATGGTAAGCCTGCTGGTCTGAGAATTTAAGAGGACGGTTACGAAAAAACAAAATTATAACTTCAATAGTACATACACAGTACAAATTTACAATAAAATGACGTCCAAAATAAATTATGATCAAAATCGAAAAAAAATTAGCCATATAACTAAGTATTCTAAAACAGGCGAAAATTTAAATTGTGAATCTCTAAAGAAAACTTTACAGTTACCCCTGATATCAAGCCTGCCCTGGTTGTTCTGACGCGGTTTGGAGGGTATTAACGACAAAAATGCACACACATATGACGTGCCTTTCGAAGCACGAAGTAGCTCGAGATTTTTTGGTCATCCATCCCGTCCAAAAAAGGGTCGGCCCTTTTTTTTTGACATTGAGAAATGTGTTACGCATACCCGCGTCACCCTGCGCGAGCTCCACGGGTTATGTGGGACTCTCTCCTGCGGACCAACACCTAGAGTGGGGGCTGGTCAAAAAGCAGGGGCCTACCCACTAAAACTCAGCGATGTCCCTCACTGCGGGGGAACGATGCGCGGTAACCCGCTCCTTTTGCAGGGTGAATCACATCTCGGGTTAGGGGAAGGGCTCACGAACATTCGAGTCCAACCCCCCCAGACAGGACAAAGGGCGTGCAATGCCTAGCGAACGCGCTAACCCGCTAGACTGCCCCTCGTCAAAGGCAAGAGATGCGCAACTGTG